GTTCTTCTTTTTGTGCACTTGGACTTTGACTCTCTTAAGTCTAAGAGATGTGGGCCAATGTTTATCCATTCCGTTCTTCTTTTTGTGCACTTGGACTTTGACTCTCTTAGACCATTTGTAGTGGTTACAGATTAGGAGTCAAAAAATTAAATATGGAATTTTTAGACTCTTAATTGAGTGTAGTGGGAGATTAAAAGAGGGAGTAAAAGTGGGAAGGAGAGTGGAAGAGTCTAAAAATAGAGGGTGCAGTTGACAGGAGAAAAAAAAGGAAAAAGAAAAAAAGAAAAAGAAAAGCGGCCGCTGCGCGTTGGTGTTGGTTCTGCTGACGTCATGATGATGTCACGCTTATGTCATTAAAATCCCATTTAATTTTAAACTCTTATAACTTTTTTATTTTTTCTCCAAATTCTTCGAAAAATATATCAAAATTCATGATTTTTTATGATCTTTCATATGACACCAATATCAAATATATAAAATGAAAAATAAATAAATAAATTTTAACTGTTGAAGTTTTGTTGAACCCAAAAAACACGAAACACAAATTTTTAATTCATTAAGCCTTCACAAATAATAAGTGAATATTCCATAATCGAATTTTATTTTAACTAAGTTCTTTTTTGTTAACCAAAAACCGTTTAAAAAAGTTAGTGAAATTTATTTTTTTACATCGGAATGCGTATCTTTTACTTCATAATTATCTAGGTAAAAAAATTAAAAGGAAAATATTTTTTATAATAATGTAATTAAGGTTTTACTAATTTGATAGGTAAAAAATATGCAGAGTGTATTTTATTGACGGTGCACGAATGCGGGAAAAAACAGTATTGACGGAGTCTAAACACCGTTTTCATATGGACGGAGTCCAAATTTAACAATTTAGACTCTCCACCACTACAAATGGTCTTACGTGTAAGAGATATGGGTCAATTTATTGACGTGGATTTCCTGGTCCAACAATGGCTCTGATCTATGTTTAAAAAACTGACCCGACCCGGCCGGGTTGACCCGGAAAAAAAATCGGTTCGGTTTTTTCAAAACCCGGAAATGGTCAAAAACCGGAAAAACTCGGCTGACCCGGGAAAACCCGGTCAAGACCCGGACCCAAGAAACCCGAAAAACCCGGTAAAACCCAGTTTTTGGGTGTTTTTACCAAAAAAAAAGTAATTTCTTTTTTATTTTTAAAGCATTTTTTTACCAATAAAATTGCAATTTCAATACCTTAAAAAGAAAAACTACGTAATATATTTATATATTTATTTAAGAATGAACATCATGCCAAATTATAATATAGATGTACAATAAAAATAAAAATATCATTATATATTTTTATAAGATCAAAATATACATTGAAGTATTATGACAGTGTATTAAATGCTTAATAAGTAGTATTGTTAGTTGATTATTATGAATAATAACTAATTTTTATTATAATTTTATATATAATTATATGTTTACTATTATTATATAGTCGTATAATCATTGACCGGTTTTCCGGCGTTGACCAGGTTGACCCACCGGGTCCGGGTTGACCCGTGACCCAGTCATGTGGCCGGGTCACTCTCCGGTCCGGTTTTTACAACATAGGCTCTGATATAAATTGTGGGTTGGATTTATCATAACAATCAGATAAATGTACAATAGAGAGTAGGTGAGCAGAAACGAGCGTTATTAAATACTATAAATATGAAGGACTACAGATCGACTACTCAGGGTGTTTAGAACTTCTACTAGAAAGTGTTTCTACTCCTCTGTTTAGAAGCAGAATCATTTAATTGAGTGTTTGGATTCAGTTTTAGAAGTACTTCTAAAAGGGCCGAAGGAGAAGTTTTATGGAAGATGGGTACTACTAGCTTCTCCAAATGTGATTCTGCTTCCAAAAATATCCTCCTTGAAAAAACCTCGCCCTCAAAGTCGCAACTCGCAAACCCTATTCTCAGTATCGCACAGACTCATCTTCTCCATAGGCAATCTTCGTCTTTGTGCCCCTGCTCTTGGCCATCTTTTCATGCTCAAAGGTATCACCGCCGGTTTCTTCTCTCCTCTCCGGCTTGAATAAATTCAATTTTTTCCTATGAACCGACAATATTCAATTTCCCCCAAATTAGTGCTTCCTTAGCTCATTTGGATAAGATTCCATGAGCACTATAACTCATGTTTATTGAATACGTAGATTTTGCAGGTATGGAGTATTATTAATAATATACTTTGAATTATTATAATTATACTTTATTTAGTAAATAACCCAATATAAGAAAATTTACTTCAAGTTAATATTTGTATTCCATTCAAATCAACACAATATGCGGTTTTCCTAATTTTACATAAATAACAGTTTATAATATGCGGTTTTCCTAATTTTACATAAATAACAGTTTATAAAAGCGTTATCCAAACTGATGGAGTATTAATTCTAGAGAGAAGTGAGAGCTAGAGAGAGAAAGTGAGTAATTATATTTCTCAACTTGGAACCCCCTATAATTAGCCGCTTGGGGTCTATTTATAGGTAAAAAATGTGGATTTGGGCCCCTAGCTTTGGGCTTAGGAGGCCCATTACAATAATCATGCCTTCTTTGGGCGAAATAAGGCCACTAATGGGCTGAGTACAACACTTAGTATATAAAATAGGAAAATACATTCTGCCTGGACGGAGTCCGGACGATGCGGTCCATGGACGATGCGGTCCATGGACGATGCGACCCATGGACGATGCGGTCCATGGACGATGCGGTCCATGGACGACGCGGATTCTGGGTTTCACCCCAAAGAACCCGGGTGATGTCTTCTCTCTTGGACGTCGCACGCCTGTGGCCGATGCGGGTGTCCTGCTGGTGTTTTTTGGGCCGTTGAGTATGTGGGCCATGGGTCCAGGCCCATATACTCTATCAGGAGTCCCCCACCCTCTGAGCTGAGGTGAAGCCGAAGCGAAGGGGAGTACTTGTTCCTTTCTGGCTGGCCGTTGCGTGAGCCTAAGGCGTTTGATGGCCGAAGAGTTTCTGCTTCGATTTTGGATGAAGCGGTTCCTTTATTTGATGTAGATGAAGCGTGCTTGGGAGTTCATAGCCTTGATGCGGGCCGACGCGCTCTCTGTGGAAGTGCTTTTGAAGACGAGGCGATGCGCTTTTCTTTTTTTGTAGATGTGATGAATTCTGGTGGATAAACTGGCCAGTTTCATTGCCATTTGTTGGGGCCGAAGAGCTTCCTTATGACTCTTTGGCCGCAGCGATAACCTTGTCTTATGAAGTGAGGATGGTTGATTCTGTCTATGTGGACGATGCGATGCACACCTTTGTCTTGCCATGCAGCCGAAGCGTTTTGCCTTGTGGTTTTTTGCTTTGGTGAGCCGACGCAGTCCCCCAGCGTACGTAGCCGTTGCGCTGGATTTTTTATTTTGGGGTTCTAATTCCTGGGTTCTGTAGCCGATGCGATCCCCAGTGCTTTTGTTGTTGGCAAGCCGTAGCGCGCCCTCTTTGCATTAAGGCCGTTGCGGTTTCCCTTCTTGTGTCCGATACAGTCCCCCAGTCCCCCACTCCGTTGGCCGAAGAGTATCTGAGGCACAAGGGAGTAATGAGCCGTTTTGGTACCTATGCGTTAGTCGCGACTCCAACCCTTAGGCGAACCTGTCCAAGGTAACCCTGTGGGAGAACCCTTGGACGAAGGCCGCAATGCCAGGGTTATTATCGACGATGCGCGCATAGGCGGCCGTAGCGGTCTATTTGTAGTTCCTTGGGTTGTTGTGAGGATGGGCCGATGCGCGCGTAGGCAGCCGATGCGTTTTCTTTATTCGGGAGAATGGGCCGATGCCTGTTCCGGAGCTTTGTAGTAATTGGGCCGTAGTGGTGCTCGGCCGATGCCTTGCTCTTGTGGGGTTAATTTGGGCCGTAGGGGTGTTTGTATGAGGGATTCCGAGTTGGTACCCCTTGATTGGCTGGGGGAGGGGTGGCCGTTGGTGGCGCCAATGGGATGGCGCCACGTGTATTGTCCGTTGCAAGTTTTCTATAAATACCCCCTCATTCCGGAGCCACCTCCTCATTTGTGCCTTGCTGTTGTCGAATTGCTGCCCGAGTTTCCTAGAGAGAGAAAGTTCTGAGAATTTTCAAGTGTTCATCACACCCTTCACATCTTCCAAGGTTAGCTACTTTACTTTTCCTTTGTTTCCTTCATATTTTGCTCCTTAGGGTGTTAGATCTAGTGTTCGTAGGAAAGTCACTTTGATCCAATAAACCACCCTTAGGGATAGGTTTAGGTGTTATGTCGTTCCCTGACGGCCGTAGCGTCCTTTCCCCTATTGATTTGACAGCCTCTCTGGACGAATCGGACTGGCCTTTTGACGAGGACGACGCGTCTCCTCAAGTGGATTTGAACATCGTGGCGACTTTTGAGATTGAGATGGAGAATACCGCGGATTACCGCACCTCCGTGGACGAGGAGCGTCTAAGTGCCGATGCGGGTTCTCAACCATCTGGTGAGGACGAAGCGAGCTCCGAGCCCAGGCTTCGCGAAGATAATGTGGGTGATGCTTCATCGGCCGCCATCCCCTGTCCACCACCAATTTCCTCTGTTCCGGGTGGCGCTTCGTCATCTGGGGTGACAAAGAGGCGTACGTCGCGTCGGCAAAAAGGGGTATCCGGCGGGCTTTCTCAATTGGATCTGTCGAACCTCTATATCATAAAGCCGGAGAGCACCCCAAGTGAATACCAGGTGGCGCAGTTGTATGTCGGCCCCTATGGGAAGGTGAGGGCGCCCAAGCCGACGGACCATGTTTTGGACCCACCCCTTGGATATTTCGGGGTGTATCCAATGAGTTTCTCCCAAGGTTTGAGGTTTCCGTTGCCTCCCTTCGTAGTCCAATATCTGGATATGTTGGACCTTCCTCCTGCCCTGTTAACACCGAACAGCTACTCCCTGATCGTCGGGTTCCTTATCCGGTGTGATGAGCTTGGGATTGAGCCCACGACGGCGTTGTTTATGAACTTGTACCGGATCGGCCGGGGGAGCCACGAAAACTGTGCTGGTTATGCGGCGCTCCAACAGTTGCCGAAGAAGAGGTCCTTCATAGATCTCCCTTCGTCCATCCATGGGTGGAAGAGCAAATTCTGCTTTGTGAAGTTGGCCGATGGGGTCTTTTTTCCTTCACAAGGCCATAGCGGCCTTTTTAACTTACACACTCCGCCGAAGAGCGCTGAGATCGATGCTCAAGTGGAGGCGTTCCTGAAGGGTGGACCGCGGAGCGTCAAAACCTATATTACTGAGTTCAAGATTGCGGCCCTTGGGATGATGCGCTACTACATACCAGGCGATCCTGATTGTGGTTTGTGGCCGAAGATGTCTGGTTACTTTGAGCAGGCCGATGGGCCCTCTATTGGGATCCCGGCCGAGGCCGAAGGTTGATAGTTTTTCTTTAATCCTTGTGTACTTGGCTTTTTTTCCTTTTTGTTTCTAACTCTTTTTTTTGCATCGCATTCGCAGGTTTTGAGATGAGTCGCAAGCTTTTTATGGCTCAGGCCAAGAAAATGGTTGCCAAAGAGATGGAGGATGCTCAACAGGCCGAGGCGTCCAAAGGTTCTGGCGACGGCTCCAAGTCTCAGGCCGAAGCGGTGAAGAAGGCGGCGGCCCAGAAGAAGAAGAAGAGGTCCACCGAGGGTCAGCAAACTTTGACCGAAGCCGGGTTGAAGCCGGCCCAGGGTGCTAAGAGGCCGAAGCAGGGCTTGCCCTCTGGTGACGCCGCTACGGCTGATGTGCAGGCTGCGGCTCAAAAAGAGCAGGTTTCTGATGTCCATGTGATTGAGGACCTGACCCTGAATGAGGCATCGGCTGCCCTTGTCCCTACGTCTCTGATTTCTGGTAAGAATGCCCAGACAAGCTCTCGGAGCGGCCGTGATGTAGCCTCTGGGTTGTACGAGGTGACGGTCCGGTATCCGACAAAGGGTGGGCTATTCAACGAGAGGGTCTCAGGCCACGATGTCTTGTTCCAAGCCATTCCTGATGAGGACAGGGCGTATCTACGCCGGCAAGGCAAGGAAGTGCGCCTTTTTGATGGAGGGTTGGACTTCGTCGTCCAAGTAAGTATATGATCTTGCACCTAGTTTTTCTCGTTTTGCTTTCCTTTTCTAACTCTTTAATTTGTCCTTTACAGGGTGCCTTGATGCTGATGGAGCAGCACCGTCGGCAGGAGGAGGAGATTGCTCGCCTCCGGGAGGCTGAGAAAAAGGTTGCCTCTGCTGACGAGGTGTTGGCTTCCCTGGAGCTTCTCCGATCCGAGGTCAGCTCCCTTAAGGAAATGGCTGATGCGGCTGAAGCACGAGCTGCTGCAGCTGAGGCCAGGTTGGAGGAGGAAGCCGCATCCCGCCGGTTGGCAGAAGAGAGGGCGAAGAAGGCCGAGGAGCTGGAGGCCGAAGCGGAGAGGGCTGCCGAGAAGGCTGTTGATTTGTTCATGGCCGAGGGGTGGAAAGACGAGGCCCGACGTGATTGGAGCTTTAACGTCGTGGCGGAGCGCTTCGAGGCGTGGTCTCAGGAGGAAGCTGGACGAGCTTGCCTCAAACAGGAGTTTGAAGTCTGGTACGACCTCGGCCAGAGGCGTATGCAGATGTTGGTCTACCGCCGTCTTCGCCGGCGTGTGAAAAATCTGAAGCCCAGGGGTATCGGCCTTCCCCGGCTGATGAAGGACCCCGAGGAGGAGTTGAAGCTCCCACTGTCCGAAAGGCAACCCCCCATTCTGAGCTCAGACGAGGAGGACGGGCCCTGGACCGAGAGCGACGACTACCTCTTCCGGAGCTCGGCCAAGTCTAAGAATACCGATGATGAGCAGGACGATGCGGACAGCGGAGCCGTTGAGGGTGGTCAAGTACAAGCTGTTTAGTGTTTCCTTGTACTTGGTTTTCTTTTTTCATCTATAGTAGTAGTCTCAATGGCCGAAGCGCCGTAATGCATGTAAAGGCCGAAGCGCCCTCCTTGTATGTTTTGAATCATCAATTAAAGATAACTCTTTTTGTCCAAGTATAAATGTTTGTTGCTCCGTCTTCATAGATTTTGATTTGTGAATCGTTGGTATCGCATCGTCTCTGTACTCATTGCTTTTACAGGTTTTCATCTTTTGCAAATTTGGCCAAGTGTTGGTGAGCATGCTTCGGTTGATTGAGATGAAGCGTTCCTCTGATGTGTCCACGGATATGCCTCCCTTGTCGGAGATGATGCGGTTTGATGGTGTAGCATCTTTGGACGAAGCGCGCGCTCCTGGTTGTGATTTAGGGCCGCATCCCCGGCTTTACCGCTTTGTTTTTGTATACTTTCTAATTCTCGCGTTTTTTGCTAAGTGTCAGTTCTATATATCCATGCTTGGTTGTAACGATGCGCCCCCTCGTCCATGTGTCCATGTAGGCTAGTTTCCTTAGAATTTTTCTAAGTGCCAGCATCAAGCTTGATTTGCTTGTTTAAGATGGTAGGATCCTTGTACCAAGTGTCGCAACGTCTTGGTTGCATTCATGCGTGTTTAGTTTGTATGGATGCTGTGTCCAGTAACGCGTGCCTTTGGAAACTCTTAAGTATCACAATTCCGGTTTTTGCGTCTTTTGATTGAGACGTAGCGACCTCCTTTCTTTGAAGACGATGCGCCCCATCGTTCAAGTAATGGACTGGTTTTGTATAACCGAAACCGAAGCGATTCCCTCTTATGAAGCCGTGGTTGAGGCCGAAGCGTGTACTTCGGATTCCTGTATAGTGAAAACCTGATATGTACTTAGCTGAATTTGAGGATTTGGTTTTTGTGGGGATTTAATTTTATGCTCGAGGCCGGCGAGTGCGCGGTCCGTCGGCTTCCCTCCTTTTTTTTTTTTGGGTAGCCGAAGGGTTACTATCCCTTCGTCCATGTGCGGTAGTTTGCCCGCTACGCTTTTCGCGTGGATTAGTGCGAGGGAGTAAATACGCCCTCGGCTTGGTGTCAGTGGCTTCTCTTTTTTTTTGGCCTTTCCACGTCTATCGTCGACGAGGGACCGGACAAGGCATCGTCTTTTGACGGCCGCCCTTTGTGGTCCTGAGCGAAACAGTTCAGGGCCGCAAGGCGTCCCGTCAGCCGTTGTACTTCTTTGATGTTGCGGGGTGGCTCCATATTGATGATGGCTTGTATTTTCTCCGGGTTCACCTCGATGCCCCTTCGACTGACCAGGTACCCCAGGAATTTACCTCCCTGGACGCCGAAGGTGCACTTCTTTGGGTTGAGCCGGAGGTTGTATCTCTTCATGATCTTGAAGATGCCCCGGAGGTCGTCGGCATGGGTTGTGGATTGTTTTCTCTTGACGATCATATCGTCGACGTATGCTTCCATCGTCCGACCTAAGACTGCTCTAAAAATCCGGGCTACCATCCTTGTGTAGGTGGCGCCGGAGTTCTTGAGCCCAAAGGCCATGACGAGGTAGCAAAAAATTCCCTCCGGGGTCATAAAAGCAGTTTTCTCCGCGTCATCTTCGTGCATGGATATCTGGTGGTACCCTCTGAACGCGTCGAGGAACGACATCAACTCGCACCCCGCCGTCTCATCCACCAACTGATCAATGTTGGGGAGAGGGAATGGGTCCATTGGGCACGCCTTGTTCAAGTCAGTGTAATCAACACACATTCTGAACGTAGGCGGCTTTGGGGCGAGGACGACGTTCGCCAACCACGTGGGGTACTTCACCTCTCTGATGTGCTTGATGTTGAGCAGCATGGCCACCTCGGCCTTGACAAATTCCCTCCTGTCGGCTGAGAGGTAGCGCTTCTTCTGCTTGATGGGGGAGGAGGCCGGGTTCACCGATAGCCGATGTGTGATTACCTTCGGGCTGATGCCCGGCATGTCCTCTGGTCCCCATGAAAAGACGATGGCATACATTCTCAGGACAGAGAGGATGTCCCTTCGGATATCTTGGGGGAGCTGGGTCCCGATCTTCAGCGTGCGTTCCGGCCGAGAGACGTCCAACGGGACCTCTTCCACGTCTCCGACCGGTTCGGCCTTCGGTGTGTCTTCTTCGGCCGAGGCGGTGGTGATGGTATCTATCCGCTCCTCGGCCTCATTGATCTTCCTGGTGAGCTTCAAGTAGCAAGCCCTAGCTATCTTCTGATTTCCTCTGGCGTAGCCGACGCCGTCCTTGGTGGGAAACTTGAGGCATAGATGTTTCATGGAGATGATAGCCTCAAGGTCCTCCAAGGCTGGTCGGCCCCAGATCATGTTGTGGGCGCTGTCCAGGTTGACGACCACGAACTCCATGTCCATCTTCGCCTGATAGGTACCGTCACCGACCACAACGGGAAGCACTATCGTGCCCTCGGCGTCGATAGAGTCCCCGGTGAAGCCGGATAACGGAGTCCGTATCGGCCGGAGCTCATTTTTCTTCAGTTTCAGCTGCCTGAATGTATCAACGTACATGACGTTGACGGAGCTGCCAGTGTCGATGTAGTTGCGGTGGATGATGTTGTTGCCAATCTCGCATTTGACGACGAGGGCGTCCCTGTGGGGCAAGGGGCCGAAGGGGAGGTCCTTGTCGGTGAAAGTGATGGCTTCCACATGCCGCCGCTTCGGCTGAGGGGGGGCGTGGGTCACCTCACCAACGTATAGGGACTGAGCCCATTTTTTCTGTTGGGTAGCCGAGTCCCCCCCTGTGTTCCCGCCGACGATGATGTGAATGTGATGCTTCTTCTGGTGGGGCTCTTCTTCGTCCTCATCTTCACTGAGGGCGCCGATCTCCCTCTTTTTCCCGGAGGATCCTCCCCCCCTTTTGCCAGGGTTAACCCAAGTGTTACTCTTGGGGACACCCTTGACAAATTGGGAAAGTTCCCCCTGTCGGACGAGGCCATCGATGTGCCTCTTCAAGGTGGTGCAATCCTCGGTCTTGTGGGATGTCTGGCGATGGTACTTGCAGTATGTCCCTCCTTTGTGGACCGCAAATATCTCCTCCTCTGACCTGGGGTCCTTCACAATGAGGCCCTGCGCCTCGGCGTGGTCAAGGACGACGCTCACCGGGTGGGTGAGGGGGATGCGTTGTGCTTCCAACTTTGGACGCCATGAACGATCCTCTCTTCGCTGTCCGCCTTGCTCCTGGTGTGCCTTCTTTGGCTGGTGCTGTCCCTTGTTGGACGGCGGGTGGTGGGGGTTGGACGAGGAGTCCTTCTTTTGTTTCTTCTCCCCACCCTTCTTCTGGTTCAGGAGCTCGTCGGCATCAGCGTGCCTATATCCGTGTCGGAGCGCCGCAAGGTATGACCGCGGCGGCTCCGTGAACAGGCTCCGGACGAAGTGGCTCGGCCGGAGTGCTCCACGGAGGAAAGCCAGGAGGGTGCGCTCATCGGCTCCTTCGCATTCGTCCGCCTCCCTCGTCCAGCGATCGAGGAAGGCTCGGAGCGTCTCCTCCGATTGTTGCTTGATGGTCAGGAGATGAGCGAAATGCTTCTTCGCGCGCTTCCTCCCGGCGAAGTGGGTGAGGAAGCGTTGAGCAAGATCCTGCCATGAGTCGATGCTCCCCTCCGGAAGGTTGTTGAACCAATCGTACGCTGGTCCCTCCAAGGTGGATAGGAACCAGCGACACATGTACTCCTCCGAAGCGTTGGTCATCATCATATTGTTCTAATAACGGGTGAAGTGCTCCTAGGGATCAGTGCGGCCGTCATATGGCTTGATCGGATTCCCCTTATACTTCTCTGGGATGGGGGCGGAGAGTACCCTGGCAGAGAAGGGGGTCCGTGTCCGTATTTGGATGAGCCGCTGCGCGCCCTGCGGCCTCCCGGGCCTCCATATCGGCGAGGCGCTTCTCCAGGCGGGCGATGATCTCGTCCCTTGGGTCCGTGTTGGCCGCAACGCCACCCAGCGGGGTCTGGATCCGGGTCGCGTGGGCCATGTTGATCTGATGACGCGCATCATCATCATTCAGCTTTCCCTTTCCTTTGTCTTGTCGGGGCCGATCCGTTGTCCGGGAAACGGACCCGAAGCGTTCCTTTGGCGACCCCGGCTCGTGGTTACCCAACCGATCCGCCACCCTTCCCGTAGGTACCCGACGGCTCGCGATGTCACCCAGCCTGTTGAAGGCCGAGATTTTTCCGCGAGGTTGGGCCGGTGTATCCCGGGTAGGAGAGGCAGTATGGGAATGGGTGTCCACGGCGAGGATGCCTTCGTCGTTGCCGAAGAAGGTGACGCCCTGTGGCCGAGGCGGCGGTGGTGGCACCGTCACGACTTCCCCAGTCACGGGAGTGTTGTTCTCCCCTGTCTTTGCGACGAGGGCGCTGACGACGTTGGGGTCCTGGAGAATGCTTGCGACGATGGCCGATAGTGCGGCCGGGTTGATCTGGGGGGCAGCAGGGTGAGAAGCCTGCTGACCCGAAGCGCGATCAGCATTGCGCCTGTCCTCGAGCCCGATGCGGGCGTCTGGGGCAGTCTTGTTGAGCTGGACGCGAAGGTCGGCCGCTGCGTGCTCGACCTCCTGAGCGTCCTCATCCTGGATGATAGGATCATTGGGGACGTTGTCAGCAACGTTTCCTTGCCCTTCCTGGTTCAGTGGGGCATTCCTACCGGTGTTCTTTGACCTAGTTCTTGTCATTCTGTTGCGTCTAGTAGCGACGAGGGGTACTCACTTGATCTGTTCTAACTCTCAATGAAAGCACCAAATGATGGAGTATTAATTCTAGAGAGAAGTGAGAGCTAGAGAGAGAAAGTGAGTAATTATATTTCTCAACTTGGAACCCCCTATAATTAGCCCCTTGGGGTCTATTTATAGGTAAAAAATGTGGATTTGGGCCCCTAGCCTTGGGCTTAGGAGGCCCATTACAATAATCATGCCTTCTTTGGGCAAAATAAGGCCACTAATGGGCTGAGTACAACACTTAGTATATAAAATAGGAAAATACATTCTGCCTGGACGGAGTCCAGACGATGCGGTCCATGGACGATGCGGTCCATGGACGACGCGGATTCTGGGTTTCACCCCCAAAGAACCCGGGTGATGTCTTCTCTCTTGGACGTCGCACGCCTGTGGCCGATGCGGGTGTCCTGTTGGTGTTTTTTGGGCCGTTGAGTATGTGGGCCATGGATCCAGGCCCATATACTCTATCACAAACACTCTAAACTGATTCTCTATTTCAAACAGCAGAATCTCCAAATAGAATCACTTTATCATACAGCAGAAAATTCTGCTTCTGCTTCTAACTTAAAAATAGAAGCAGAAGCAGAATCATTTCCAAACATCCCTCAATGCTACCGTGAAACGGCTGAGACATTATTGTTAATTCTTTCTAACAGTTTTTGAAGTTTTTCAACGCTAGGGTTACTGAAGCTTAGCCTTCACATAAATAATACGAGTACTTGAATTGAAGGTTAGATTTTCCTATTACAAAAGGCTAGGTTCAAATGCAAAGCTGGCCCAATCAATACACAAATAAAAGATAATAAATGCAATTACACACAACAAAATAATTCCTAACCACATTTTAATAACTTCTTCCACCAATCACACAATATAATAATATGTATTTCCTTTATTTACTAATAATTACATCATACGTTATGAAAGAACTTGGAATAATATACAATCATACATAGATCAGTAATTCTTTTTCTCCCTTCAAGACTCTATCCAGTAATGATTTGATGATATAGCAAAGCAAACAGACATCCATCTCAATGCGGTGAAATTGTTCTTACGCTGAAAAGGATAAAGAATCAATTTTACAAATAAAATAACAACGCTTAATCCAGCAAGCCCTTTCTCGCAATATTCAGCCAACATATATACTTCCTCCGTTCTTTTTTAGTTATAACATTCACTTTTTCAGTTTTGGCAACGCACAAGTTTGACCGTCATTATACTTAATTCTGTATTAGTAAAAAATAATTAAAAATCAGATTATGAAACTTTTTAATGTGACGAATTCGACAATATTTTTCAAAAATAATAATTCAAATACATGAATAAATAAAATATAGTCAAAGTAGAGTACATGAATAGTGTGTAATTTGCAATGTTGCAACTAATGTAATAGAGAGGATAGTATATTATTTTTGCAACATTCAACAAATTAACCACCCAAGTTTATTTGATTAAATTCATGCTCTAGTGTAAACATAAGAAGAAAGGGCTAAATTGGCTGTAACAAATGTTTAAATCAGTTATACATTCCTTAAAAAGAGTGCATGACTAATTAAAGTTGATAGATAAAACTTTACTCAAAATTTAAACTTGCTTTTTGGTCGCACGCTCTTTCTTAATTGTATCGAAGAGGCTCCCATCATAAACTCCTTTTATAGCTTCTTTGGGCAGAACTCCCTCCTTGTTTTTCGCTAATAAGTATAATACCTTCCACTCTGCCCATGCACCAACCCTACATAACAAAACAATAACACTATATATAATATCTTCATCCCAATAAAAAGTTATTTTAACATCTAATTATAACATGTGCAAGTTTTTGGTGCTCATCTCACACTCCTATAAAGTTTGAGATATTTTAATTATTTTCCCTTAAAGTTTGATATGCAATTAACTAGTTTATTTCATTTAGGAACATTTTCGAGAATTATGTATAATTTGGTTTGAGGATATTGAAATTAACAAGTACGGAGTAATTTCGTGTGAGAAAATTCATAACAAAGATGAATTTACCATCCCGCATAGTCCTTTGGCAGTCTATTTGCCTTGAGCATTTCATCCAATTCCTTTGATGTCAAACTATTTTTGCTTGTGTGTGCGTATTTGGCGAATATTTCCTCAAATTTTTCTGGAACAAACCTATAATCATCATATCAAAACGCATGGTAAGCTGTATGAAGATTTAGTCGCACAATTTAAGTCAAAACTTACTCTGTATTCAAATCAAGTTCTGAAACCCTCGGAAATAGGGTGTTAGTCCTTTTTGTTTAATTTAGGATTTTTTAACTTTGAACTGTAATTTGATGAGTCTTGTCTGATCTCTTTATATTTTTGTAATTATCCAAGTCTGATCTGAGACAGATTAGAGTCGAAGTAAAAACATCCTTAGTGGCATAAAACAATGTTAAATGAATATGTTTTTCTGTCATACTTACAAAACACAATCACAACAACAATTATTGTTATTATCCTTATCATTATCAAGCATTAATAAATGTATGATCTATGTGTATTTTATTGTTTAAATTTTATCTTGTCTAGTTCATTAAGTTCTAATCTAGATTGATTTGTTTAAAAGGAGTCCAATTTGATCAAATGTGGAACTGAAATCAATACAATAATTTAAAAGATTTTATGAATATATAGGTATAGCCGACCTACTAGCCATTGAAAAATTATTTTTCATGAAACTTAGATTTTATGAAAGTATGAACTATATAGACAATAGCATATTCTACTCAATTTTTTTTTTGAAAATAACATATTCTACTCAATAATTATGCAACAATTAGAATGACTGGGAAGAACACAATCATAGGAATTATTATCATCAGTTTTCTTCTTCTAAAATTAAACATACTACGTATATTTTTAGTTGGACTAACCTCGATCAAATAAGGCCGGCCTAGACAATCAAATCTGGTTAATTCAAACTAGATGAAACTTTGACAGTTAAAAATACACTTAGAGACCAACCATCTATCAAGTCAGTTCAGATCACCGAATCTAAATAGATCAAACCAGACGAAACTAAAAAACTTTAGTACAATTAAAAAGTCTCTAATACTATCGTACTATGTAATTAGACTTGCATGATAACTAGAATTATACAACGCAAAATTTGTTGAAATTATTATGATCAAATTTTTTTAAATCTGGAAATTGTAAATTTTGGCGCGTAGTTTATACATGTACTTATTTTTAATCCTGCAACTTCACACATTTACAAATTTAGTCAAATTATATAATTTGTTCATAGAACTAATAACAAATGTTTGTAATGTGTACCTTCCTTCTGAATCATAGACACCAGTATCACTTGTATGCTTCCCAAGTTTAATATTTTTAACCTCAATAGGGAAGAGAAGAGATATGCCTTTCCCCTGCAATAGAGCATATATTGTTAAGTTGTTAACCCCATAATTTCTTGCTTAGTTTCAATTTTCAAGGAAAAAGTAACAAACAATCATTTTTTTTTCAAAATGGGAAAGAAAGCGTTGGAAAAGTGAAAATGCGTTGGAAAAGTGAAAATTCTTTTGTAAACGCGACTAACTATTTTATGAACCTGAAGAGTAAAAATTAAAGGACGCATAATTGCATAAACTAAAACTGGTACGTCTACAACATTAGAATAAAATGTTTAGGTAATCTACCATTGTTTAGGTTTTACTCTTTAACTCCAAGACAAAAGAAAGGGAAATTCCCCCAAAATACAAGTAAAAACATTGCAAAACTCAGGGGCAATACTATGTTTTTTTCTCAAAAAAGACTAAAATATTGTCATCCTAAAATCAAACCGTCTTGTCATGGGAGTATTAATATCATAAAGAGTTTTTGCCATTTTCTGTCCTACAACTATTGTTTTATTGACACTTTTGGTACTCCACTTTTAATTTTTCCAATTTTAGTATTCCACTATTTGTGCTAGGGGCGCATTGAGTCCCTAACTTCAATGTTTTCCACATTTAGTCCCTGAATATTATTAAATTGACATTTTTAGTCCTTTTACTATGATTTTGACACAATAAGTGAAGAACTAAAAATGTCTTTATTATAAGGAAAAATTGATAGTAATAATCCCAACTATTGGCGGTCCGCTTATAATAATCCCAACTATTGATTATTTCAGAATAATCCCAACTTTAGGGACCATCCGCCAATAATGGTCCATGATCAGATTTAACTCCTATAAAAAGTGAATTTTAAATAGAAATTAAGTGTAAAAATTAAAAGGTGGGATTATTTATAGGCATTACTTGCTATATCTCTTCTCATGCACTTTAGAAACTACAAGAATTTATTCTTAGGGACCATTATTGGCGGAAGGTCCCTAAAGTTGGGATTATTCTGAAATAATCAATAGTTGGGATTATTATAAGCGGACCGCCAATAGTTGGGATTATTACTATCAATTTTTTCTTATTATAATAGTTGAAGGATCAAAAGTGTCACTTTTATGAAAATCGAAGAACTAAACATGAAAAATTTCAAAGACGGAGACTAAAAATGGCAAAAACTCACATCATAAATCATAATTGACACTATTTGTTATGATGAGTCATGATAGTAAATTAGCAATTACTCCCCATTAGAGGGGGAAAATATATTACTCCTAAAGTGCAAAAACTTAAAAACAAAACACAAAAATTAAGAATCAAGACAATTCAAACTTTTATCATCGGAAGAATATAAGATAGATTATGCCATATTTACCGGTCGAGTTTTTTTACTGAGCCCAAGATTAATAAACACGGCTGCAAATGCTGACAATGGTATCCCGAATCCAAGCATTCTGAAACCTGTAAAGTAAACAAGAAAAAAATGAGGAAATTATCGTTGCATATTGCATCAGCATACCCACACAGTCACACACTTAACCTTCATATCCGGATTCCAGAGACATTTTAGGTATATAAAACTATAAAAGTAATTACGACCTCCTGCCAAATTGAAAAGTTCTTTTGGGACTATGAAATTTGACCAAACTAAAATTAAGTGCGTCTCCTAATATGGATTACGGAGTAATACATAAAGTAGTATTGATAATTAAAGCTTATAGTTGTACTCCGTATATAATTGGATTAGATTAGATTATAATTTACAATATAAGTTATACTCCGTATTAAATTGCAAAAACTGAATTTAAATGTGATAAAGAATTGATGCTTAAAATTAGAAATAAAAGATAATAACGCTAAACTTTTAAGAGGTGAGAGAGGGGTGCCTAAAAAGAGAAATTAAAAGCAAAATAGACTAAAGTTTTATATTGTGATAAAGGGGGACAGATATTCATCTTATTATACAAAAATAAAGTAACACTATTTGAAGTTCGAGATATTTCACGTCTACTAGACCTAGGGATGGCAATGGGGCGGGGTTGGGGCGGGGGTTCACTCCCCCATTCCCCGCCCCGTGTCTAAAAAATCGCCCCCACCCCCGCCCCATCCCCCACTACTATTCGACCCACCCCATCCCCGCCCCGCTAGACCCATGGGTACCCAACGGGGGAAGTACTCGTCAAAAATTAACATCATTTTAGACTGACAATTTTTCAAAAATTAAACAACGCTTCTAGTAGCCATTTTTTTTTAACTTTTTAAGTGTTAATGTAATCTTACATCCCATTTCAAATCTAGAACACATTATACACGTTCTAATTTAGCCATTTTTATCAAACTCTAAATTAACATTGATTGGCTCTATAATATTTTCTTAAACCCTGCATTCAATCAATCATGGTCATTTGACGACATCTAGGACGACCTATGACCACACAATCATAAAGATGACATTCAAAAGAAAAGAATTAATGCATTGTAATAGTAAAGGAAAAAAACTTTCACACCGTGCCTGGGGCGTTTAAGCTAATATCACTTTATAACTTTCCCAAATTCATTTTACTTTATCCCTAAAATATCATTTTACTTTATGATTTTGATAAGCAATTTTACAAGATAGCTTAGTTATTAAACAAGAATTAGATAGACCCATTAGGCACAATCCATTAGATAGGAAACCACTAAACCCATCAGGCCACCATGCAATTTTAATTACTTCGTATTAGTATTACTATTATTATTAGTATTATTATTGAGATTATTATTATTAATTATTACGGGGACGGGCGGGGACGGGCGGGGACGGCATAACCCATCACCCGCCCCATATTTATGCGGGGAGAAAATATCTCCCCCACCCCACCACCCGCCCCAACTCCACCCCACGGGGCGGTTCCCCACGGGCCCCCGCCCCCATTGCCATCCTTAACTAGACCTCAATATGGTCTTATTAGCTACTCCGTATTACTCGTATGATAGTGATAGAGTACGCATATGTATAATTCATTCATTGGAAAATCAATTCCAACATAGATAACTCATAATTAACTAGTTGAAAAGATATTTTGTGAACTTTTTTGTGAACTTTTTAGTAACTGTTCAAGATCTTAAAAAGAAAATATGATAGCTATTTGATTAAAAGCCGAGTGTTTGATTAAGTTTGGTTTGGTTTACAAGCTGTTATGACTAATTAATACTACATCCGTCCCCCTAAGTTTGGAACAAGAGAAGGTGGCACAGTTATTAATAAAAGTGAGTTTATGTGGTTGATATTGAATTACTAAAGTAAGAATAAAGTAGAATCATTTAGAACCACATAAACTTTACCAAATAAGGTATGAGACAATCTTAATGGGACGGACCGAAAAGGTAAAATGAGACAATCATAGCGGGACGGAGGGAGTACTAAAAGTCATGGGCTTTTCTTAGATTCTACTATCGGTAGCATCTCAAAAAAGATCTTTTAATTTTGGGAAAACTGTCAAATAGGTCCTCGAACTTTCATAAAAAGGTCAAATAAATCTTTATATAGGAGACTCTGTCCGGCCGTCGTGATTTGGGGCGGTTCCCGGTGGATTTTTTTAATTAAAATTTTTGAGCATCTTATTTATCAAGTCTAGTCTACTCATACCAAATTTCAGCTAAAATTTCAATCGGAAACGCTTTCAAATTAATTCTTGAAGATAACTATTCAGTTAAATGCGCAGTTATCTTAAAAAATTAATTTGAATGTGTTCCTGATCGAATTTTTAGCTTAAATTTTTTATGAGTAAACTAGTCTTGATGAATATGATGCTCAAAAATTTTCAATAAAAAAATCCTCCAGGAACCGCCCCAAATCGCGACGGCCTGACAGAACCTCCTATATAAGGACTTATTTGACCTTTTTATGAAAGTTCGACGACCTATTTGACAGTTTCCCTTTAATTTTTGAAAAGCTCTTAAAATTTGTTATGCCAAACATCCAACTAGAAGATTTTAGAGACTTTTTTAACAATACAAAAGCTAGAAGAAACCTAGAACCCAGAGACTTATGTCTGTCAAACATGCATTTAGAGTAATTGGAATTCCAAAATAAGCCTATTCTTTTTTTATTTCTTAAATAGAAGCGCTTATCATCAAAGTTAAAGATATTACATCGAGGGTATTTAAAATCTGATAATGTCAAAATATAATACTCCGTGGTAGGTATTCCTATTTAATGAATAAAACATTAATCTTATAATGTACCTAGTAATTGTTTTTACTCTTATTTACACCAATTTTTTGAAGTAAACAATACGGAGTAATAGTTGTTAACTTAATATCAAACCAACTCTCATATAGATCTATAAACAATTGGAAAAAAAGGCGTATTATTTTATTTTCCGTACCAGATACGGCTGCACTACCTGTCTACCTACATACTATTAACTCCGATCCATATCTCTTCTTGATATAACTTCTTGCGTCAGAGGAATCCTATCCTCATCTTAAAATATACTACCCGTCTTTACGTGTCTTAATTTGACTTGACACGATTATTAATGTAGTGGTTGAAAAAATAAAAGTAATGATTGATATTTGTGTACAATAAAGTGAAATAGCGCATATTTCTTTCTTAAAAGGGAAAAAAGACACTTATTTTGGAACAACCCAAAAAGAAAAGTAGAACAGATAAAATGGGACGGAAGGAGTAATACTACGCATTATTTCCATCTTGGTTGACTTTTGTCAACAAATTAAGTGAGAAATAAGAAAGAAAAAATGTATAGTTGATGTTTATACATATGAGAAATTAGTTAAATGAACCACAAATTAATCGATTAGAAGGTGACTAATCGGGATAAGGGTCAGTTTGGTCCTCGAAGTTGCAAAAAAGGAGTCAAATAAGTCCTTATATAGAAAATTCTGTCCGGACGTGCCATTTGAGGTGGCTCCCGGTGGAATTTTTTGATGAAATTTTTTGAGCATCTTATTCATTAAGTCTAGTTTACTCATACCAAATTTCAGATAAAAATTCAATCGGGAAGACATTCAAATGAATTCTTGAAGATAACTGTGCCGTTAAAAGCGATGTTATCTTCAAGAATTCATTTGAATGTCTTCCCGATTGAATTTTTAGCTGAAATTTGGTATGAGTAAACTAGACTTAATGAATAAGATGCTCAAAAAAAATTATCACAAAATTCCCCCGGGAGCCACCTCAAATGGCACGTCCGGACAGAATCTTCTATATAAGGACTTATTTGACGCCTTTTTTGCAACTTCGAGGACTAAACTGACTCTTTCCTCTTTCCTCGTGACTAATCCATTAGAAAGTGACTAAGTATTTTAGCAATCGAAAAGTAAAGTTAGCCAAATCTATCCAATGATACCGAACGAGTATACAAAGTACTGTTCATCGTTTTATCATAAATAAATTCAGATGAGGGTCGCCCTATGCTACAGAAACAACTAGGGATGTTTCAATCCCGGATCAGATTAGAATAGACAAGTTTAAACTTAAACAGATCAGACCCATCACAAACAAATCAAATTAGATCAAATTTCGATAGTTATAAAATACATGTACACCAGATATTTATTGGACTAAACTATATCAGAACTGATTTAAACACACTACACCAGACTAGACTAGAAAATTTCGGTTCAGTTTAAACCATAAAACATTCTAATTGAATTGAGCCGATTGAATTTCAGGCGGGATAACGCTTGCTATCAACTATTTATTTCTATCGAAACAAGAATGAGATAATTGATAGGTGCAATACAAGCATTCTAATTGAATTTATTTCTATCGAAACTATAAAAGCAATAATAAGAGTAAATAAATTGAAACCTTTATAAGTTTCCGATGGATAAACAAGTCCATCCCCGTTAATATCGAAAAACATGGCATGTTTTTGGAGAGGAGAGATCTCATCGCCAGGATTTCCTGCTCCTGCATATCAATCATACTTTTTTGAATAAAAAAAACTATGAACTATTCAACCAATTCAATTATTTGAACAACGGAAATGACAAATCCTGAAGTACTTAAGTGATAAATTGAGAAAATTATGAAAAAAAACCCGATAAAGTTAGCATACATACCACCATGGGAGACAGAGGCGTTCAAGGAAGAAGAAGAAGAAGCAGGATCTGCGGCCATTGCTGATTGGAAAATGAAGAAGCCAATAATCTAATTTACAGAAATATATTCTGAGATCTGAGGATATAACTTCTACAATGCGGAGTATTTTGTTTCATTTATGAGAAGAAGAAAAGAAATCAATCTGATGAATCTAGCAGTTGTGAGTTGTTATATGTTCCTCCTCTGCTATGGGCTGGCGGTGAGTGTTCTTTAAGCAAAGTGGTTGCGTGTGTGTTTGAATATGCGTCCAGGTGTCATTCTAATTTCAAATTTATTTTTTTTTTTTTTTTTACTCCAGGGGGTCTGGGGGAGGGGGCTGGGGGAGCCTGGAGTAATCAGGGCTGAAACTCACTCCATTGAGTTTCACACCCTTGTGTGCCTAGCGGGATTTGAACACGAGACCTCTCGCTAGGCACGGTAACCTCGCAACCAGCTAGGCTAATATTTAATAGCCTAATACTTCCTCCGTCCCTTATAACTTTGCCAACTTTCCTTTTTTGGATGTCCCATTAACTTTGCCACTTTCTCATTTAAGTAAAGAATTTGTGGTTCCAGTTAATTCTCTCTCCCCTGCACAAACCTCAACCACACAGTTTTTACTTTATTAATCCACGTGCCGGTCAAACTTGGTAAAGTTATTAGGGACGGAGGGAGTATCTATTAGCCTAATATCTACGGAGTATTTAGAAATATTTGTATTTTGACAACTATTTTTAAATATATATATATATATATGACGAGGCTCTTATTCGAGTATACTTTTCCATTACTTCACACAATTGGTAGCCGATCAGCCAAAAAATATTGATTGTTTTGACTCCGATTGGATTCATTGGCTAATAAGAGTCCATTTGATAACACTTAAATTAACCAAATTGAATGATTATATTGAAATTTGTGAAATAAAGAAAAAATAGAATGAAAAATAACTAAAATAGTCATTATTAATTTCAGTCAATTCAACCAGAAAAATAACTTCAACCTTGCGCGTTCATGGTGATGCCCAAGGCCATTGTAGGAACATTAATTTCTTGATTTAGGTTGAGTAAATATATGAGTAATATGAATACAATATTTGAATACATAGTTATTTATAAAAATACGAAATAAAATAAAATGAACTATATGAACACAAAAAATGTGGCAAATTTTATAAACATGTATTAGTCCAATTTAGTATTCTGACCTCTAATGTAAATTGAAAAGCCACCCACATCACTCACACACCCACAAGTAAAAAAAAATGAGAGCCGATGCCAAACAAATAGAAACTCCAGAAACAAAAAAAATGGCCATAGATCTAAGAACCAACACCAAACTTTAATAGTCTATGGTTAATTAATCAATTAACATCAGGGGTCTCCACTTCTTGTTTCTTCTGTTCAGCCTCTTGCACTTCCTTCTCTATCTTCCTTCCCTTCTTTGACTTGTATTACACACTCATGAAGGTGCATATGGCTTTATACTAAGTGAAGTACTCATAGAGCCCAACATCAAACTCCATAAGTCGTTTTCTAACAACTAAAGACACTGCATATTGTGGTTGGAACGTGTGGTACTCAATCATCCGATTCTCCAAACGCCGCACTGCCAATGAACCGTCAAAGATGTCACCCTTAAGGACAGGGCCAGGTGCGTAGTACACTGCAATATTAGTGTACATTTGGGCATAACTCGTGTCGCCTTGCCTTTTGTGCAGCTCAAATCCAGATTTCCAATATATCATGTTTTTCAACAGGAGCCTGTAAAATCTGTGTGGGCAAAGCCACATGGGGTACACCCGTTTACTTATAGACATTAACTTATAGTTATAATTAAAGAGTCATACAATGAACATATAATATCTCATGGTGTTCAATAGGAGCCTGTCAGTTTGGTAAAAGAATTTTCCATCTTAACAGTTGGATTTCAAGAAAACACATAGTTATTGATAAAAAAATATCACTGAAAAATATAAATTTATGGCTAAAAGGCATGATGCATAGTTTGTAGCAAAAATACTATACTGGTAACTGCCGTGTAAACATCAGTGGTGCCTATAAAAAAATAACACTTATCAATTACTATTTTATTCTGATCACACATTTGACATTATTTCTCTTACTGAAATGAAAGAAAAACAGTATAATCATAGTAGCACAAATAGTAGTTTTAGCAGGTCCCAGAAAATGCAGGAGGAAAAACACTATAACCATGGTTATGATAGTATCATAGTATAATCATAGAACACTTGGCCAGGTCCCAGAAAATGTAGGACAACATATAATATTCATTTGGTTCTGTTTTTACACACCCAAAGCATTCCCTTTAATATTATTCTGCTATAGGCGTTAGTAGATTCTAAAGAAGTATTGTTTCATCCAGGGCTGGTCCTAGGGGGAGGGCAGTAGGGGCGACCGCCCTAGGCCCAAAAAAAGTAGAAAGAAAATTAGGCCCAAGTTTTTTCTTTATATGTAATCTGACTAGGCATTTTTTTTTATAATCTCCACTAATTAATTAACTCTAATGTGTAATTTTAGTTGACAATTTGAAAATTTTAAAGCATAACTAAAAAGTCTTGAATGGAGCTACACAAGTTTTAAAAAAGAATATAAATTTAGTTTTGAGTCAACACATTTGTTGTTGAATCAATAAAAGCATGTCTCTTCACATATTTTTAACCTTTAAGACTTTTTATTCTTTTTAATTATAAAATTATCGATTTATATTATTGTCTTTGGACTGCTAGTGCCTCCAAATTCTCAAACATCATCCTAATCATCTATTATGCCTCAAAACATTTAATGGATTAGTAATTTTAAACATTGCACATGTGATTTTTAAAAAGAGATTTATTATAAAGCAATTATTGATGATTTTACTTCACATTGTTCTTTTGTGATAGTTGTTTTGTTACTTTTTGTCCAAATATGTAATTCAAATAATATGAAGGTGAATTTCATCTTTAAATAATATGAAGGTGAATATTGATTAAAAGAGAACTAAAAGAGTAAAAGAACCAACGAAAAAAATGATGGATCTATATTTTTCTTCCTAACTTGGTAACTACTCCTTATACTTTAATGATTAGTATTAATATATAATATTACTATATAATATTAATAAATTTTTAAAAATTTGGGGCCCCATAAATTTGGGGGCCCTGTTCTGGATAGCCTATTGAACCCCCTAAAAAACGGCCCTGGTTTTGGGGTTATTACTCACTTTAGGAGAATAGGTCCGTTTCTTCGAGGTTGTGTTTTTCTCGGACGATTTGGACGCTTTCCACTACTCAGATTGATGCAAACCAGACCTTCACGGATTCCTAGTCTTGAGAGCTTTCTTTTGGTATCTTACACGCCTTATTTGGTTAAGTATTGCCCGAGATATGAAGCAAACAAGTAACCTTACGCACTGAAAAAACTACCCTGCGGACAGCTTGCTCTCTCCTTGTGCTTTCTTGGTTATGTGGCTCTCTCCTTTTCTCTTATCTTGGGGAGTTCGAATGGGGGTTGTGGAGGTGACTAATAGCTCTCAAAAAATGATAAAGTATGTGGCTTACAAGAGAGCGTGGGAAGATATTTGGTTTGTGAACAAATATAGGGTGTACCTCGCCCTTTTTGTTTTCTCTTGAAGTTTTTGAGCGTGTGAGCCAAAAGTCCGCCCCATGTAGTCATCTCACCTCATTTCCTTTGTCTTGAAGGTATTCAAGCCATGTGGAATGGTTCCAACTTGATCCCAATCAAATTGGGGTCCAATATACACTACTAGAATTTTTGTCATTTGCTGCACCCTATTTGCTGCGGTTAAATAGGAACCGCAGCAAATACCTTGAAAAAACATCACTATTTGCTGCGGTCATAGAAGACCCGCAGCATTTGTAGCAAAAATTTTACTTTATTTGCTGCTATCACAGCCAAACCGCAGCAATTTCATTTTTAAAAATTACTTTATACACATTTGCTGCGGGCACACGGCAACCGCAGCAATAAGTCCGAAAATATTTGGGCGTTCAAGGGCCATCGCCGGGTATCGATCAGCTGGCTAGACATTCAGATCGACCTAATCCCGTCGCTACCCTCGCGCAGCAGATCCGCCGCCCACGCGCAGCAGGTATCTCGCTCCAGTCGCAAGCCACCACCGTCTCCGTCAAATCGCAACATCCGCCTCCTCCAACAGTTTGCCGCCTCATCCAGCCGCTACCCTCATATTTCTGAAAACTTTTATCCCTCTTCTCACCCTAAGGTACGCACTCAACTTTTCGATTTGGAAATTGTACGGAGTTTCTCTTTGATATTGCTCATGGTGTATTCACTGATTGTTGAAAAGTATGATTATATGTATAAAAAATAAAAAATCTCGAATTCATTCCATTTTTTGCCTCTTTGATTTGTGGCTTTAAGTCAATTTTAATCCATTTGTGGCTGAATTGGTTTACTAGACATTAAGAGTAGCTATAGAACATTCTCCCTCCTTATTATGTTACTAGTTTAGCAACGCGCGATGAGCATTCGTGTAAATGCTCAAGACCATTGTAGGTACATTAATTGATGAGGGTAGGTTGAGTGAATATCCAAGTAGTATTAGTAAACTATTTGTAATTTTTTGTTTGTTTGTAGGCCACAAGAGTTATTCATTGACTTAAGTTTACCAAATCAAATGGACAACAAAAACAGACACACCAGACTCCAAACAAGTAGAAATGATAGGAAATAAAAACCAGACTCGACAACTTTGTACATAAGAAGAGAGTTGATAACAACTTGAGTCTCGCTCCAACAACACACCAGACTCCAAACAAGTAGAAATGATAGGAAATAAAAACCAGACTCGACAACTTAGTACTTAAGAAGAGAGTTGATAACAACTTGATTCTCGCTCCAACGACATAGAAGGGTGAACCTGGGATACCCACATCCGCCACTTCCAATGCTAGTGAACCCACAGTACATTATTGATCCTCCCTTTCCAAGAACGTAATAGCTCTTCTCCCCATAGACATGTCCATTCACATCAATATTGAAAACTGAGTCAAGCTTCTCTCCAAGGGCATCACTATGCAAAGCAACATAGAACTCAGCAGGTCGGAAGCAGGCCAACACCCTCTGGTCCCTCTCGGTGAGATCACCCAACTTGACAACATCTTTGAAGTCGTAACCCATCACTTCAAAAACTTGCATAGCTGAATCCACAAGGGTTAAAATTAAAGTTGCGTATATCCGATCCAGGGAGAATCTTCCGGAATCCGGATGTTCCAGTCATAACGATAGCATAGTTTGTTTGTGTCTTGAAAAACACAGATGAACTCTTCTTGTTCAGCCCAGTCATGCACACCTCCAAAGTATAGACTGGCATACATATAATATGTTAGAAACTGATAAAGTAACTTGAGGAATAAAATATTTGTAGCCTAGATTTATGTGTGGAAATAAAGCAACCAAGATCATTATAATAACCATAATAATAGGATAAGATTCATTGAAGTTCATTTACTATTGAACAAAAGGAAGACAAATATCAAAAGTATTTGAGGCCAAATTTCCTAATTTTTATTCTTTGAAATTTATTAGGTTAAAACATCCAAATATTTATATTCTTAATTCGATATTTGATTAAGTCACATGTTGGCATATCATCTCGTGGAGTTGAGTATGATTTTATCTAATAAAACAAACATAGCAAAAAACACTACTATTTTAAGTTTTACCCATGCTGAGCCTTTAGGTCAACATGTTCTTTTTATTGAGTCACCTAAATGGACGTATTAGCTAATGTGTTTGAAGTACATAGTAAGACCTCAGTCTGACAAGTAATAAGGAGAAAAGTTAGAAGGATAGCCACCTTAATAGTGATGGAAAGAATGACATTTTCAACAATTTTCCTTTTCACCCTTCTTGCTAGCCAAGGTCATTTGAAATGAGGATGATATTCCCGTTTCCATGGTAAGTGCCGAACCAGAAACACCCATTGAGATGCCAACATCGGCAGTAGGCAATGCAGGTGGATCATTTAGACCACCACCTGTCATTCCTGCTCGTGCTTCCTTTTAAAATTCTATGATGAAATCCGCCTTGCCCTCCGGAAGGAGTTCTGCATGAAAATCCTCCAAAGCAGCAACTAACTGAAAATAGTTTATAAGCTTGATTAATATACAGGTAAACAAATTTCATCTTCAGCTTTTTAAGCGGTGACCATGCATTTACACTTAAAAATGATTTTCAAGTCATGTCCGTTTAGGTGACTCAATGATTGAGTCACCACCTAACTAATACAAAGTATGTCTTACCGAGAAGAAGAAAAAATGATCTCAATGATTTTTGTCAAGGCGCTTTGAAGTTAGTCACAGATGTCATAGTATTTTCAATTTGATTTTGACGCTAATCAGATTCAGCATTAAGGTTCAAGAATATTCTTTAAATGAACGCCTCAAGTGATGATTTGTTAATCTAGAAAAAGAAGCTCCTATACACGGAAGTCAGGCTAATTTTTTGAAAAACAAAATTCTATATTTGAGCATCAATGAAGTCAAACCAAATTATGGGGGGTTACCTGCTCTTGTACATGGCTAGCCGCATAATAGCAGTCTCCAGTGACCATTACTGCTTTGACACCTAATAATCTAAGCTCTACAAGTGATTCCTTTGCCCCTGTTCGGCAAATATCAGCCAGACTGAAGAGTCCAACTAAAGAAGACCCCGAGAAGATGTAGCTAATGGTCTTCCCTTCATAACCATCACCTTCCAACTCCGCAACTGTTCTCAAAAGTTTGAAGTATGATTTTATCTGAGAAAACAAACATAGCAAAAAAAAACTTCTACTTTAACTTTTACCATGCTAAGACTTTATCATTAGGGCAACATGTTTTTTTAGTGACCTAAACAGACATATTAGCTATTGTACTTGAAGTACATAGTAAGACCTCAGTCTGAGAAGTAATAAGGAGAAAAAATAGATGGTACTTATCATTCGACTACCACACACATTTGGTAAAAACAAATCCCATACAAAACTCTAGAGAAGTTTGCTGAAATAGAGAGAGAAGGAAAAAAACTCAAGGATCACATAAATATTTCAGGCCTAAGCACCACCCCAACTAATGAGAACGCAAAGGAGACAAATTGGTGCAAAACATATATAGGGAACCCGCTGCAATCACCAAAGAGATTGATTGAACTGAAGCAACATGAAGGGCTTGAGTATTACATGTTGCACAGTTGCAGTATGCTTGGAAGGACAAAAACCAGTCATTCTCCACTTGCAATAATATGCTTAGGGCAACATGTTCAAAAGAGTACTTTAACAAAGCAGCTAAAAACTTCAAAAGACAAACAGGTCATGCATTGGATGTAAACAACCATATAGTGATATTACCAGAATAGTTTGTAACTCTATATTGAGAGCCACTTTAGTGATCCCTCTTATAATTACTCAAGAGGTATACCTAACATTTTCAGCATGTAAATCATTAAAGCCTAAGAATATAGTATATTATTAATATCAGAGTCTACAAGGACAATAATAATTAATCTGTTCCTGGGACACTATATGTAAATAGGTATAAACATTCTTTTAAAAAAACGCAGTTACATTTTCCTATATGATGTCACAAAAATAAAGCTAATCACATTGCAAAGCATAAGCATGCCCACAGGTGATATCCTCAGAAGAGATGTAGGCAAACCGTCGTTAGTTATGAGAAAATTATCTCCAAATTAAAATGGTGAAATTAAATATACTAAATTGAAATATTGAATGTATTACCTACCCTGTAGCATCCAGAAACAGAAACAACTTCTAGCAACCACCCAAGTCTTTAATTAATTTTCTCTCTTCTAACCTGAACCACATAGCAATCAGCAAATTAAACACATGATATTTACCTCTCATGTGAAGATTAAAAACCTCGTGTTACAAATTAAGCTAAAAAATTAGGTTCTTATAGAATTAATGAAATAAGACTAAAATATTATATGATTCTTCAAATAGGAATAATATCCTATAATGCCTATTAAATTTACAGGTGACTAATTTTTATATATTAATTGAAATTTCATTCAAAGAAAAATCAGATCAATCAAACATTAGGTGTGTGCAATTAAATCAATAAACTACTCCGTATCAAAGAAAATAGATAGATAGATCAAAGAAAACCAGAAAACAAACAAAACCAGCTAATTCATCCATTAATGTAAAATGTCAAATGCTCAACCCATCGGTCAAAAGTCAAAGCACTAACAACCGTAAGTAGAGGTATAATGAAGAATAACCAAATGCAGGATTTTTTTTGAATGAAAAATGAGAATTGAATTCAAAATCAGAAAGAAATTCAAACTCAAAATATGAAAAAGACTAAGTAAATCCAAAGTTGTAATTGAAAAGGCAATAAATATTACCTTAGCCAAATCACTTTCCACCGCCTTTGAGGTTGGCCGGTGCGGGCAAACTGGTGTGAGCATGGATCTGAAGAATCAATTGAATTGAATCCGTTTGAGAGGTAGAAGAAAATAATTAAAATAGACCGAAATAGGAAACTTGGAAGAAGAACACAATCTTCCATAGGAGCAGGAGAGGTTTCTCCATGGCAGTTGATTTGGAGCGGGCATCGGGGCAAAGAAGGGAAGAGAAGCTGAGGTGAGAAATTGGAGCGTGAAAAATTGGGGGTAGGATAAAGCTATGAGACGAAGAGAAGCGGGCGATTAATTTGGGAGAGTAGGTAGGCTTTGACGGCAAAGCTAACGGCAAAGCTAACCCCGTCCCCAGGCCGGCGATTAAAGCTTCATCTGAATATGCCTTTCGTACAATCCGCTAATGCACACGGAGCTACCAACATTTTTTTGAAGACCGCTATGTCCCTAACAATATTCATGCTTATATAATTGTAGAGATATATGTAATACTTTTTAATTTTATTTTTGAATTGATTTTTGAGGTTTTATTTTCCATTTACTGGTTAATTGGTTGTTTCATTAAAGATAAGCTATAATGGTTGTTTTTCTTATATAATAATGTTGCGTTATAGATCAGCTATAACCAATTGTTCTAATATAATGTTAGGTTACAGAAAGTGTACTTTGGCTATAAAACCAAAGTCCACATCTTTGGTTATAATGAAACAAAGTCCATACTGCTTTCATGATAGAAGTCCATACTAATATAATGCTATAACCATATAGTTAAAGAGAGCTGATCATTAGTTCTTTTACTCATTCCACAGTTAAAGAAAGTGTTTCATTCATTATAATCAAACACTAAATAACGTAACATTCAGTATTATATTTTCATATATGATTTTTAAACTAAAAAATCAAGGCAAGCCAGCAATGAAATCATAATTGTTATCTATAATTAGAAAGTGATTTTGCTATTTTAAAGGCAGATTTTAATTAGTAAATGAGGGATACCATTTCCTGTATGTTCTTCATTGCTTTAGTTGACATATGCATTGACTGTATATGTGTTATTCATTGGTTAGTTATTGTAGTAGATCTATTCATTAATTGTATTAGTTATACAGAGTATAAAACGTTTTGTATTATGTATAAACAATAGAAGTGTGTATAAAACGTTTTTCTATCATGCATATAATATGTCGTCTTCTTTTTTATCGATATTGATTCTTTTAGGATTTTAACTTATTATTTCTATATTGAAATTCAATTCTAAGAAAGAAAATAACTTATTTGTATTCATTATCTGGTTAATTTCCATTGACAACCAATTTTCCTTTTTATCTTCATTAATCCATTTGTATTCATCCCTATTTTGTTTTTATTCTAAGAAAAAATTCTTTCTTATTTGTAAAGATGAGTCGAAGCTGGATGTACGGTAAACGGAACACATTGGAATTTATGAATGGGGTAGCTGAGTTTTGTAAACGTGGTTTAGAATATAGATCGTTGACTGGTTGTGATGAGTTATATTGTCCTTGTGTGGATTGTGCCAACGTAAATTCATTTCGGTCAATAGAGACAATCAGGGAACATTTAATTCGCCGTGGATTTAGACAGCAATACTATGTATGGGTATGGCATGGTGAGAAAGGAGTGTATACAGAAGATCTACTAGGTGCAAATGAGATGCCAAATGTCACAAGTGAGACACATTATGATGCTGAGGGTGAGAATAATGAGGACATTAAAACTGAAGGTGAAAGTGAAGATGAAGATGAAAATGAGGATGAAGATGTGAGCGATAAAGTAGATCAGATGGATGAGATGATGGACGGAGTCAAAGATTATTGTGGTGGTCGGCCACGTATTTTTGAAAGTTTGTCAAAAGCAGCAGAAAAACCATTATACCCTGGGTGTACAAAATACACAAAGTTGTCTGCTGTGATGACACTTTATAATGTGAAAGCCAAGAATAATTGGAGCGACTCAAGCTTCACATCCTTGTTGGAAGTATTACATGACATGCTTCCCGACGAAAATGAAATGCCAAAGTCAAATTATTATGCGAAGAAGCTCATGTGCCCTTTGGGTTTAGAGTACAAAAAGATTGACGCATGTCCGAATGATTGTGTGTTGTACCGAAATGAATACCGCATGTTGAACAAGTGCCCACAGTGTGGTAAGTCACGGTACAAGCGTGATGGCGTTGACTCAAACAGTGATAAGAAAGGGCCACCGGCCAAAGTGTTGTGGTATCTTCCAATAATTCCGAGGTTGAAACGTCTTTTTTCAATAAAGGCAAATGCTAAATATTTGAGGTGGCATGGTGAGCAGCGCAAGAAAGATGGAATGCTTAGACACCCAGCCGACTCGCCCCAATGGAAAACTATTGATGAATCATTTCCAGATTTCGGCAAGGAAGTGCGGAATCTGAGACTAGCTCTATGTACGGATGGAATGAATCCATATGGCAGCTTCAGTAGTCAACATAGTACATGGCCGGTTCTTTTGGTTATATATAACCTACCACCATGGTTGTGCATGAAGCGCAAGTATATGATATTGTCACTTTTAATATCTGGGCCTAAAATGCCCGGGAATGACATTGATGTCTATCTTGCTCCTCTCATTGATGATTTGAAAACGTTGTGGGATGAAGGAGTTTCAGTCTTTGATGCACATACTCAGGAGTACTTCAAATTGCGTGCCATGCTGTTTTGCACAATAAATGATTTTCCTGCATAGGAGGCAAGTAATAAATCATCAAAGGGAAAGAAGAAATTGGACATCCATAAAAAGGCAGCCAAACAACGATCTCTAGTGTCTGAACAAGTTCTAGTGTCACTTAGTAGAGATTGTAAATGGTTGCACTCGTTGATAGCATCCCGGTCTAGCTATGATCCCATTGATGTTACACTAGATGCTTCTATGTTCCATTATGAATCTGATGATGGTCATGTGTATCTTACTGTGGAGGACATCACTCAGTTTTTGTCTGGTGCAATGCTTAATATTTCCATTATTCAAGTATTTGTGATGTATGATCTTGAAACTATATGACTGATTACAAGAGTATTTAGTTTATGCTAGAGTTTGAACTCATTTTTATGTATACAGAGCAATGCAGGATTATCTACAGGGTTTGGATACACAAGCACAACTTGGATGGATGTGTCCCGATTCAATTTGTGCAACTACATGTGAAAATAACCCTGAAGATGTGAAAGATTACATACACCGAGCCATCACTGAATCTCAGAATGCCGGCGTAGATATTCTTGTTGCTCCTTATTATGAAAAGTATGCATTTCTATTTATTATATCAAGTTGATTTATTATATTTAAAATATCAATGATATATCAATTTGATTTTGTAGCTATAACACAATGTACATCACTAATTAACCGTGCAGCTATCATTGGGTTTTGCTTGTGATTTGGATCTCACGCGGCATGATCTTTGTGTATGATTCTCTTCGAACCAGCTCAATGCGTCGTTTATTAATCATGTCATTGTGCAGCAGGTAATTGTATAGTATTTTTTTCACAACAGTGAGAATTGTTATTGTATTATCTTATAATTTCCAAACTATGTGGTTCTAACTTTGAATGTTTTGTGATAGTGTTTTTAGAAATATTTGCGCGAATGGTGAAAAAGTGAAAAAGATTATTTGGAAACAAATGAAGGTATAAGTATATACATACTTTCGCTAAATATGTTATTAAATTTTTTAATTCTTTTAAGTTGGTAGTGAACATTATGAATAACGAATATGTTATGTGTATAATTTCACATTTCAGTGCGCAAAACAGACAGGCGGCTTGGAGTGTGGATTTTATGTAATGAAATTTATGTATGATGTGATCAGAAGTATCAATGAAGGCCAAGATCTGGAGCAGGTATATTAAAATGCGTACTAATGTCATATGTTAATTTCTTTAATCGAAATTATTTTGTAATATGTTATTCCTTCACAAAAATGGTGATTTTATTTGTTGTCTTTTTTTGCAAGTGCTTTAAGAAAAACTATTCTGAGTTGCCCTTCATTTGAAGCAACTGACTGGGAATGGTTAATTGTACCAGAGAATACCAATATGTTAAACGGGTGACAATTTATTTGGAGATACATGTTAGGAATGAAAACTGCTTAAAAGCAGCAAATGATGAAACCTGTATTTAATTAGTAAACATCAAATTAAAGAGATTATATTATAAATGTGAAAGTGTTATTTTTATCAAAATATATTACAATTTGTGGTTGTACTAATTACAGTTGGTAAATATTTGTAGGTGTACGGAAGCACCTTAAGGGATGAGGCATTTTCAATGGTAGAAATTGATGAGGTCCGGGACAGATGGGCGATATATGTTTGTGATAATTTGTTGTAACACTATAATGTGTGAAGGAATGTATTAACAATATATTTTTGTTGTATTGAATGTGGATCATATTTTTGGATCGTTAGTTTAGTTACAATTCAGGTTTTATGTGAAGGTTTCTGTTTGTTGAATCTCTAAAATTGTCAATTTAGAAAAGTATTGTGAAAATAGGTGCAATTTTATTTTGAATTTAACACTTATTGCTGCGGTTAAGATAGGAAATAAAAAAAATCGTAAATGTATTTGCTGCGGTCATAGAGGAACCGCAGCAATTAGTGTATTCCAAAAAAAATAACGCCTCTTATTTGCTGCGGTTGTAACCGCAGCAAATAGCAATTTCGCTTTTTTGCTGCTCCGGCTATTGTTGCGGTTCAAAACCGCAGCAAATACGTCAAAATAACCGCAGCAATTAATGATTTTTCTAGTAGTGATATCTACCAATACTTCCAAAAAAATGGAAAGATGGGTCCTATTGTTTTATCTTTGTCATGAGATGTCTTTTTGTACTCATTATAATTTATGTAGGCCAAGTCAACTCCATACACCATATTATTGATCCCCAATATGTGTAAGATCATCCCAATAATTTACATGATGAATATTATAGAAGAAAAAACCTACTCCCATTATTTAGCTCAATAATGTCAAAGAGGGGACCATAGTCATTTGTATTCTTCCCTAGTCATTCTATCACTTATTTTGACATTGTCATTCATATTATTGGACTCCTATCCGTGTGGGTCACCCTCGAGTGAGCCTAGGACGCCATTCTTGAATACTTACTATTTTTAGCAGGTTGGGCCCAAAATAATGTTTGGGCCACCCGACCTTCCTCAACTTGTCTTGAAAGGTTAAGTAACATTATTTAGGTAATGTTGGACTCTTATGTTTATTAATAAGGCCCAAATAAGTATTTGCAAAATCCGACACTAATATACGAGTTTGAACAGTACAATATTCAATCATGCACTACGTAAAACATAAATTGTTTTACAATTGTTTGGTAAACCGGAAATTCAATACATAACTTTGAATTTTAAATTGAATTTTCAAGGACGTTCGGGTGCGGTGTCACAAAGGCTCTTTTCCAAAATAATTCATAAATTCATGTATTTGTTTTCCTCAGAAACGTACTTAACATTCAAAATGTATGCCTTTTACACGTATATAAAATTTTAAGAGATATACTCAAGTGTTTTTGTTGTTAACCGTGACAGATATATTTTGTAAAGCACATCAACAAATTCAGAAATTCCATCACCTTCTAATTATAGTCTTTTCATAATTTATAAATATATACTTCCATGTAATGGCAAAAATATTAATCACATGCTTTTGTCTAAAAATAGTACAGACCATAAAGTAATGTTACAATAGCAAAACTAGTCCATATTTATTTTGGCTCAATACTCTTATCTTTGATTAATTGAGATGAAATCTAAAAGCCATCTTATAGTAATTAATACTAACACCTCAATATTCATTATTAATCATTATAAATTTATAATACTACGGAGTATTATCTTTAGTGAATCGAAAAGGACATAAAGCATTGACATATTATAGCAGTATATTATCTTGGCTTAATCATGAAAACGGATATCAGGATTTAATTAATTAACATAAGAATGAAACTAATATAAAAGCTTATGTTATAGTGCAATTGTGCAAACTGTCGGGTTTCCTCCTTAATTGAGAAGTTCATGAGAATTCTAGAATATTGCGGAGATGTCTAGGATTCTCTAGATGTGTGTAAAGAAATATTGAATGTTCTAGAATATTCCGGAGCTTTCTAGAGATACATGGAATTATCTAGAAGCATGTGGAAGAGTGTAGAATATTCTAGAACATTGTGGAGTTTTCTAGAGAAATGTGGAATTCTATAGAATCATGCCGAAGTTTGTGGAAGCCTCTAGAACATTCTCAAGTGATGAGGAGTTCTCTAGATCCTTCTAGAAGATTAGAGAGGCTTGTGGATAGTTCTTGGAAGAATCTAGAAATGTAGTGATGGATAGAAAGTTCTAGAGAAGCTTTGAGATGAGTTGTATAAATAGGGGTGAGATTCCTCATTCCTAAATGAGAGAGCTTAGTGAGAGAGCCATGTGAGGGCCTAGAAAGAGCCTCCTCAAGTGATGAGAGAGAGAGCCTTGAGGAGAGCTCTTGAGTGAGTGAGTGCTTCCTTGAGAGAGGTATGTGTGAGTGGAGTAGTCTCATATACAAAGAGTGAAGTGAGCTACTCATTTACTTGTAAAATATCTCTTGTACATTTCAATTGTATAATACAAAGTGAGATTGTTAGATTTATCCTTTGTGTTAAGAGTGGATGTGTGAGTGTACAAGAGTCCTTTGAGCTAGTGATCCTGGAAGAGGTCGGGGTCGTGTATTCCCCAACAGTGGTATCAGAGCCATGGTTGTTGGAGGTAGAGTAACGGATAGATTTCGTCGTGGGGATCGATCTCGTCATAATATTTGTGATGCTAGCAGTGTTGTTAGAGGCATTCGGGATCATGCTTTTTGATGGGATGATGAACTTCACTTTAGAGCTTGGGTCATACATATATGGAGGAGCGGTGATGGCATTGTGTGGGTGGTTCTCAGTTTGGTCTCGCGATTTGATTTGTTAGTGGTGCATTGTATCAAAAGTCTTCCTGATGTTGTGGTGGTCAGGCGGTGTGTCCCGTGGGTAAACAACGGCGGTACAAGAAGAGTTGCTGGTGATGTCGGTGGAGAGGAGATCTTCTGGAGAACATTACTTACAGGGTTTGGTCTTGTGGTTTGATCTGCTATTGGTGCGTGGTATCGAAAGTCTTCCTGATATTGAGATGATCAGGCGGCGTGTCCCGTTAATAGATAACGGCGGTACAAGATAGTTTGGTGGATCATTTCTTGCTGTGGAGGAGATCTTGACCATTCCTTGATGGCTGCTTGATGTGTGTTTTCTCGCACTTAAAAAGGATTGGAATATAGTGGTGTAAGTATGAGTATCGTCTCCACAGGGACGGACAAAAGGGAATCAAGAATTAATTAAATTCAGCGATTAAAAAAAATAAATAAAATAAAAGTGCAATTGTGCGAGATTGATTGATTGATTAAACTAAAACTAATGCTAATGAGCGAATAAAAATATTTGGTTTTCCTTAATTAACGACGAATGGAACAGGAATTGATTCCGAAGTTAACCAGATTTCTGGCAGAACAGGCCTAATCACATGAATTTCATTCAATTGAGCCTAACTAATCATTACTAAGTTCTTACCGCTCTCGCGGCGTAGAGTACAATAATTTAGGGGACCAGGCTGATCTCTCATGCGACAGGATCCTAAATTATTGCCAAGATGAGCGAGCTTACGGTCCCTTAATCGCTACTAATCTCTTAGCGAACGATTAAGTGTGTGTGAATGTGTCCTAGAACAAATTAGATCTCTCTTAATTTATTCTATAAGCAATTGTAATTCTAGTGGCCATCTAGGTTACAAGAGATATCAATTAAATTATTCACACACAAATTAAACGGCATTCATGCAATTAAACCAACGAGAATCTAGCCATCAATCATGATTAACCCCTTCATCAACCCCAAATCCCTAATTAAACTACTCACGCCTCATAATTGACGAATCAAAAGAATTGGGATGAATAGAATAAATTGTCATTAATTAAAGAATTGAACTTACAAAGAATCCCAGGTTCTTGGATTAAACAACGTAAAAACGCAGGTAAAACTCGTCCCTAGGCCTCTCTCCAAAGTTTGTAACCCTCAAAAATGGGTATGGAGGCCTTATTTATAGAAAACAAGAGAAGTTGAGCTGAAATAGGACAAAACGGGGCCAGACACGGTGCCAGGCACGATCGTGCCTGCGACCGTATCTGCGGAACAAACGCACGCTTCGGATGCAGACACGATCGTGCCTGCCCCGGACACGATCGTGTCTGGCTGGCAGTGTCTCCGCGTCTCATCCTGAATGCAGGCACGATCGTGCCTGCCCTAGGCACGGTCGTGCCTGACCTTTTCTTCATCGTTTTTCTTCGTTTCTTGTCCCGAATGCTCCCAAATGCCTACGAGGTCGATCCAGATGCTCTTTCTTCACCAGAATTTCGTCGTGAATCTCCCGGTGGCCTCCAAATCTTCCAAATCTTTCTCGAATGCCTTCAAATCCTTCCCGAATGCCTCTCAAGCGCCGATTGCCGGACTCTAACTTCTTCAAATCAACTTCAAATGCAATGAAACTCAATCCAACGCCTGCTAAACACAACTTGAGCCAAAATTGAGACTTGCAACGCCTTAAAGCCAGGAAAATCATCAAAGTCCGACCCGAACACGCATCAAATGCGTGTCTAAATACGGACTTATCACTACTCGTGTGGTGTGATGCAAGCTTTGTTTGAGGGGGAGCAACTCACATCCAAGGTGAAGACTGTTGAGTCTAAATGTGAGGCTCGTATTGGTGGTTGAGTGTTACTTCTCAATTAAGTCGGTAGGGGGAGATTTGTTGGGTTCCCTCCTTAATTGAGAAGTTCATGAGAATTCTAGAATATTGCGGAGATGTCTAGGATTCTCTAGATGTGTGTAAAGAAATATTGAATGTTCTAGAACATTCCGGAGCTTTCTAGAGATACATGAAATTATCTAGAAGCATGTGGAAGAGTGTAGAATATTCTAGAACATTGTGGAGTTTTCTAGAGAAATGTGGAATTCTATAGAATCATGCGGAAGTTTGTGGAAGCCTCTAGAACATTCTCAAGCGATGAGGAGTTCTCTAGATCCTTCTAGAAGATTAGAGAAGCTTGTGGATAGTTCTTGGAAGAATCTAGAAATGTAGTGATGTATAGAAAGTTCTAGAGAAGCTTTGAGATGAGTTGTATAAATAGGGGTGAGATTCCTCATTCCTAAATGAGAGAGCTTAGTGAGAGAGCCATGTGAGGGCCTAGAGAGAGCCTCCTCAATTGATGAGAGAGAGAGCCTTGAGGAGAGCTCTTGAGTGAGTGAGTGCTTCCTTGAGAGAGGTATGTGTGAGTGAAGTAGTCTCATATACAAAGAGTGAAGTGAGCTACTCATTTACTTGTAAAATATCTCTTGTACATTTCAATTGTATAATACAAAGTGATATTGTTAGATTTATCCTTTGTGTTAAGAGTGGATGTGTGAGTGTACAAGAGTCCTTTGAGCTGGTGATCCTGGAAGAGGTCGGGGGTCGTGTATTCCCCAACACAAACATCTTTTCCTTTAATGACCAAAATAATAACACTTAATAATTAATAAATGTCATATTATAGTAGTGACATCTTAGCTTGTCTTTAAAAGAATTAAAAGTAATGATCATATCGTATTATAATACTCACCTTAGTATAAATACCACAATTGAAATTTATGATGCAATCGGACTAACTTCCTCCTTTCCCTTCACTTCGGCTCAATCTTTCCCTCTCCCTTTTAACTACGGAGTATTTCATTCTTTTGACAGTGCATGGTTCTAGCTTGGATGTCTCATGTATGTATGTAATACTATGTACATTATTATTATAGAAGCTACTCCCTCCGTCCCTGAAAATTGTTTCCGGTTTCTTTTTTGGATGGGCCGTCCCAAAAATTGTTCCGCTTTCCCCTTTTGGAAAGTTTTTTGTGGCTACAATTCATTTACTTTTTTCTTACTCAATCACAATCATACATTTCCACTTTATTCTCACTTTCTTAAACTCCGTTCCAAGTTAATGCGGGAACAATTTTCCGGGACGGAGGAAGTATCATTTTTGTCCTTATATCTCAAACCTATTTACGTGTCTTCCTCTTACAATTATGACCAAATGTTACTATCTCATTTAGCATGCAGGTTGTTTTTGCCGAATGTACACCTCCTGAGATAGCTTTGTGCCATGTGTCCATATCTATATAATTCGGAGTACTACGTATTACAGACAACTATATATTTCATCTTAACATTGCTTGTTAGCCGTAGATGTAAGCATGTGTTCTCTTTGTTTTTAATTAAAATGAAATTTACTTTTTATCTTTATACACTTTTAGCTGCTAAGCCCACTTCGTAAATCTTAATTCTTAAGATTCAATTCATCATAGGTATTTATTTAACATGACATTATAAAACAATAATGGAGTACTCCTGGAACCCAAAACTAGTTTTACAATTTTCTTTCCTGTTAATCGTTTATTTTTCCTGTATTTGAAATTTATTTTGAATCTAATTTATTGTTTTATAAAAAAATTATATCCGCTACTAACGTAATAACATTTTAATATAATCTTGAAGTACGTTATACGGAGTAGTAGCCAACTTTATATCATTTCAGCTAGACTAGTTTTTGGGTATTACATAAGGAGTCCACAATATGAATTTTAATGGAGTTTAGAATTCTATCGAAATTTGGGTATCCTTAATTTAAATTTTCATAGAATCTATTTAAATCCGAGTATCCTCAAATATTCCATAGACTTTTAAAGACTTGATTTTAATGGACTTTAAAAGAACTTTTAACCCAAAAATTGAATAACTTAATCCACCAACAATGTCACCAACACCCCGTGGATTTGAAATCCATTTCGTAAAAAAACATACGACATCAACATAATATCGCACCAGGCAGTCAGCCACTTGTGTTCTTCCATCTTTAGCTTTGGGGTGTTTTTTTGTCGGTCTTCCGCTACTGCATATCATTTTCTTGTGTGGGAATAGGGAATCTTGTGATATCAACACCTCATATCAAAATTGATCACAAAAATCCTGGAATAAATCATGGATTATTTACTCGAATTCAGCCATGCAGAGAAGAATTTCATCTTGATTACATCAAAAGTGTGCTAATATTCATTAAGGTGCTACAGAATGAAACTGATACAAAGAATGCGTGTTTAAATGCTCGACATAATTATGATCGTCCAGCTAACTCGGCCAATGGGGAAAGCACATTTAATTAGCTCAGTGAGTTTATCTAACCAATTTTTGCTCACTTATCGAAGTTGGATTTCCCTATGAGGTATCTCAGCCCCAACAGTTTACACCATTTTTTGCACTAAAGTGGTGTAAACATCACATCATACAGTACTTCATCTCCAACAAGTTACACCATTTTTATCACTAAAAAGAAATATTCTTTTTTTATTCTTTTTACTAACCTTTCACCATTATTATATTTAATTATCTAATTATCATACATTTATACATTAGCCCCTCATTTCATATGTATTTTGGCATTTCACTCATTATTTCACAAAAACAAGCTAAAAAACTATTATAATCAATATTTCACGCATTTCACTCATTAAAATACAATGATATTATAATAATTCGATTTGAACTTTATTTATAATATTGTGTGATTTATTTATTTTTATATCAAATTTACAATTTAAATTTTTGTTCTAAAAATGGGTCAAAACTATAACAACCAAAACTTTGGGTCACTTTTGCAAATAGAAAAAAAGAAAAGAAGTGAAGATGGCGTATCCCACCTTTGCACCAAATATGGCGTATCCCACCTTTGCACCAAATATGGCGTAAAATCTCTAGCCCTCCACCATTTTATTGAAATGGGGTAAGATTTGGTGCAACGGTTGGAGCAAAAAAATTGCAATTCCCCTATTTTGGTGGAAGATTTGGTGATTGTTGGAGATGGCCTGAAAACTGAGCCAAACTGTCAACCATTTATGAAGTTGCAACCTTTGAGTTACCCACCAACGGTAACTATTTTAAGGCCAGGTATAAATCCACTACCCTTTAACTCGGAAGATTTTACCTCCGCACACTTTATCACTTGAAGCCTTCATCTCTATTTTTTTTTTAAAACCTAGTGGCAAACCATCCTAGGATGGGGTAAGGGCCGGGGAACACCTTACCTATTATTTATAAGATTAGGGAAGAAGGAAAATACAAGGTAGGGGGACTACGCCAGGACCCACCCGAGAAGAACAATTAAATAACATAAGGAAAAGCAATAGCATCAAATTTAAGAATATTGCTGAATCTGTTGGATCTAACATCAATCCCCATACTAATATCTTTGGCTGCGCAGTTGACCTTTTTGTGGACAAGTGTAACAATGATGTGCTTTTGATGCAAAATCCTACGAATGCAAGAGATGGTGAAGATTTGATCTCAATAATTGACGCACTTCAGATTTATGGCTTCAAAAACTTGTGGATTATCGATTTGAATCTCATTGTAGATGATTCCACGGTCCCTACAAAAAATGAGATAGTCATAGTAGGCCTCAATAGAGGCTTTCACTTTGGAGTTGGTCAGAATGATACGGGTGTGATGGGAGGTCATTTGGCCCTTATGGTTGCGCACCAAAAAACCAAAATTGTGGGAGAGACCTATTTGGGTATGAGCGATGTTAAGGGTTCTATGGTTGGCTCGAGGGGGATTCCACGAAACCACTTTCGGTCTGCTTCTAAGGGTCTTTATAGGTCTCTTAATATCATTGAGGGAAATAATTTCCCGTCTGATATTGTAAATGGCCTCAGAATAGTTTGGGGAAAGATCATCATAAAGGGTGCTGTTTCTCAACTTCCAGAGATTCCAAAAAATGACAGTGTAAGTAATAAAAGATTTGTGGTGTGTCCAGTTAAGAATGGTATCCTTAAGGTTGCCTTCCAAACGATGACTCTGGACCTGAAAGTAGCTCCATATAGGAGCGTGGGACTTACAACGCAAGAAGAAATGCTCGATAGAGTCATCGTGGTTGCAATGAGGACATTTAAAAAGGCCATGAAAGCCCATTCTCTGGAGGGAGTCAGCACACACAATAAGATTGTTAACAATCCGCCAAAGGAAGAAAGAAATTTTAGCAGGGATATGAAGCCTTCATCTCTAAAAACCTTCTTCAAACTCTCCTCAAAAGAAGTCATCATCATCATCAAATGGAACGATCTTCATCCTCATCCACCTACATCTCTCTTGAACTATAACTGGCGCCACCTTCAACTTCAAAGAATAACTTTTCTACACTCGAATCACTTATCATTTTTGAAAAAGAAAAGGCAACTCTGCTGCAAGAACGAGAAAGAGTTTCGGCTTGGAGGACATGGAGAATGTCTTCAATCAATCATCTTCTTCTCAATGCATCTATAATATTACAGGAAGAAGAGTTTGCTCTAGGATGGCTCAAAACGAAAACATCTTAAAACAACCATCACACTAAGCTTCATCAACAGAACTTACCATGCCAAACTCCAAAAGCTAAAACCTGCAGATGAGCAAAGCAGTGGCGGAACTGTTTTGTTCCAAAGTATTCACAAGAACACCCAAAAAATTTAAAAACAAAGTAGTATACATGTGTAAATTTAGTGTAATTGTACTTATTCTTCTTTAAATCTTTATTTGTACAAAATTAAACACTTGAAATCTAAATTCGAGATCCGCCACTGGAGCAAAGAAGGAGAGGAACGACCAGGAACCTTCTCCCAGGAGAGCCATCAGGCAGCTGAAGAGCACCCTGAAGGGATGTTTGTTGCTGCCAAAAGGGGGGAATAAAATCAAACAACCTTGTGATTTAACGATGTTTTGCTCTTTTTAGGTAGTTTTGATTATAGTTTTAGGTATCATCAAAAAGGGAGGAATTATTAGGCCCCCTAGATTTTGATGATTAAATGTACTACCTCCGTCCCGTTGGAATGTTCCCGTTCGGTTTACGATGCTTGACTGACGATAAAGCAACTCGATCCCTGTTCACACTCCGCTTATTTTTAGTAAATAAAATTTACATATTCAGAAACTACATTAAAACCGCTACAAAGCCTGATCAACAAATAAAAGTGAATTAGGAGGGAGTAATCGTTGACGATAAAGCAACTCGATCCCTGTTCACACTCCGCTTAATCGTTGATAAAAAATTGATATATAAAATAAAAGATTAGGAGTGACCTAAGTTCACCAATGAATAGTGAACGAGAACATTCCAACGGGACGGAGGGAGTAATCGTTTTGATGATGTCACACCTTTTTATTACCCTCTATTAGACTAGATTCTCTTATTTATGTTCTATCTTGTTTATTGTAATGTGCTCCCAAAATAGTGATAAAGTACTCATAAAAAGCAAAGAGTACTAAAAAAATGAAAAAGAGTTAACTGGTATTCATTGAAAAACACAGTTTTCAGCAGCCAGCTGAAATTTGGCAGCCGGCTGAAAACTGTGTTCCAGTTAAGGCATCTGAAATACACTCACTCTTCTCTAAGCACAAAAACAATTAAACAAAAGATCAACTTGCAGTCAAAATAACAAATTGATATGAAAAGTAAATTTATAAGAGATTTTTATCACATTATAAATTTCTTATAAATTTATTTTACTTAAAGCAAGTATTTGTTATTTGTAAGTGTAACACCGTCCCCAAATATATTTACTTTTATGTAAATAATGTATTGAACCTTATTAAAGGATTAATGAATTTACGAGGTTGTAAATTTTTATTATTTCTTTCGTGTGAATAGTAAATTGCACGTGGGGCCCACACCGGGAGCGGGGGCCGCCCGACACTCCCGAGACCACATATTTTATTCATCTTAGTCAAGATAATATTTATATAGTGGTGAATATTTTATTTGGGTCGTGGAAGGGCGCAGAGTTGACCGATTGGGAAAAAGGGGCCCAATTACCGGTACCGACAATTTAACATGTAACAGCCCGCAAATGAATTTCGGAGGCTTATAAATTAAAGTTGGGGAAGGTATATTCATTATACATGTCATAATGAGTAAGGGAACATAATATATTTTATTTGACCCGATAAAATAAAATATATTTAAAACAGTCCGAAAAAATACAACTTTCGGGACAAATTGCACACACCGGGACACAAAGGGATGACCTCCCACATGAGTGGGGGCCACCCCACGTTTTTTTGTGCAAGGGTTGACTAATTGGTGCCATAAGGACACATGAAGGATGGGTGATAGGATGGGAGGAACATGGTTGAAAGGTAATGGACCCCTTTCCACCCACTCATTGGCTAAAGGAGACAAAACCCACCTCTCCACCCTCTTTCATCTATCATGCTCGACCAACCAAGCAAAAGGAGGAAGGAAGGAGCTTTGCAAACCATTCCCATAGCTGAAAATTCGAGCTCAACCTAAGGGAGTCCAAAGAGGAAGATAAAAGAAGGAAAAAGTTGGGGAAAGTGTGATTTATTAAGGTAATGACCTTATTATAACTCTTCCTTTAATTTTCTTCCACCATATGAAGTATATATCATATTAAGGACCCTTAATATGGTTCCACATGTTATAAGTATGGATTTATGGGTTGGAAAGTGGTTCTATGTCCAAGAACGGACTTAGAAGCCAAAACGACCGGTTCACCGGAAAATAACCTTTTTTGAGGTTATTTGTATTAATATGGGTTTTATGATTATAAAACCTTGTTAGGCACTTGTAAAGGGCATTTCAATTGATTTCACAAAGTTGGAAAAAGTCGCCAGAGTTGTCGCCGGAGTTGACCAAGTCGCCGGAGTTTCACCGGAGTTCAACCAAGAAGGGTAGAACTTCTTAACGCTAGTTCAAGGTGAGTGGACGGCTTAATATCTTATAACTTTTGGGTTAATTATAAGATTACCTAAATAAATGTTATAAGTGTTCATAATGATGTTTAAAAGATATTTAAACATGTGAGTAGCCAACATAGACAAGCACGTATGAAAAGAATTAATTGTTTATACATGAAACATGATATGGAGAATTATATAAAATGCATACTTGCTTGAAGTGTATTAGAAGCACAAATGAATATTTTAACTTAATTATGTGATGATTAAGTTGACTTGTACAAGGTTTGAATTGGCGGTCAACGACAACGTTGACCGATGGATAATGGATTAATTAATATCGATTGGTATTAATTAATTATACATTTACATAATTGCATGGCTTTGCATGGAATGTGATACATAAGTTTTATGTATTGAATTAGTTATGAATGATTAAATATGATATAGACCCTATCTAGTGTGATATGTGGTAAGTCATAGGTCGGGTGGAGTACCCAAGGATCGGGCGGTTATCCTCAAAACTCGGTTATATAGGGTGGAGTACCCAAGGATCGGGCGGTTATCCTCAAAACTCGGTTATATAGGGTGGAGTACCCAAGGATCGGGCGGTTATCCTCAAAACTCGGTTATATAGGGTGGAGTACCCAAGGATCGGGCGGTTATCCTCAAAACTCGGTTATATAGGGTGGAGTACCCAAGGATCGGGCGGTTATCCTCAAAACTCGGTTATATAGGGTGGAGTACCCAAGGATCGGGCGGTTATCCTCAAAACTCGGTTATAGGGTGGAGTACCCAAGGATCGGGTGTGTATCCTCAAAACTCATAGATTACATATAATGATCTAGGACCGGGCGGTGTCCCTATGATAATTTACTTGAACAAGGAGGAGTTCTATACACTCATAGGCATATGGGTGGGTTGGGGTTTTTAGTCAAGAATATTGACTATTACTATTTTTCCCAAATAAACTGGTGATCTACGGATCGGATATTTTTCCAAGTATATATATACTATTAAGTATTTCATAACTTGGGGGAAAGACTATTTATATAAGTATCACCCTATGTTTGGGTCTTATACTTGAAACGCTAGTTATTCTATATTTAGCCTGCTACTCGCTCGGTACTTGTACTAACCCCTTCGGGGGGGCCCACCATTTTCAGGTTGAATCTAGGGCTTGCTACTTGCACCTTCTCACGGGTGATATCAAATCAGGAAGACGTGGTTCGTGCTTCCTTATTTTCTTTCAAACTACCGAACACTTGCTCATGGATATTTGTTCTACTATAAACTATTTTTGGGGCTTGCATGCCCATGTTGTTGGCCGGTTGTGGCTTATGACTTACCATTGAATATTTCCGCTATTCATTGGTTTAAATGTGATGTTGTTATGTATGTTTACTACTGAGTATGGATGGATTGTTTTCTCGAACGCCTTGTGTAATTAAGAGGGGTTGACTCGCGGGTGACGTCACTTAATTATACGGCGGTTGTACACGCGCTTGGATTGCGGTCTGGGGCGTGACAATTAAGTGGTATCAGAGCCATCTCAGTTCTAAACCATATAATCAACCTCTCACATGAGATTTTACGAAAGAGTTTTTACCAAAAACCATGAGCATTGGATTTTGACGTTTATGGGACTATTGGAGCTTAAGTTGCAAGGCCTCTAATTGTTAAGACGGTACCCTTAACAATTGGTATGGTGGCGACTTGGGTCGATACGTGTCTATAACGTTTTTCCGTCAATTGACATTCATAGGAGTCTAAAGACTCGTCCAAATTCCGTTTCAGAAATGGAGGGTAAGCGAATGGCAACAAGAAATGACCCTAAGGGACAAGCGTCGGTAGCTTACCTTGAGGCTAGCCGGGCTGTGTCACGAGCCTTTACGGGGAGAGGAATAGGCCATGGGGGCCGTGAGGGCCGCCAAGCGGCAAACGCTAATCAAGTGGGCTCGATGTGTAACATGAACACCAGGAGGAACGAACGTAGGCGTCAGGCGAGGCGAGATCGGGCCACCTCCCAACGTGATATGACTGTCAGCCAAACCCATCCTTGGGCAAACGACCAAGGAGGAGAAAGCACTCTTACGGCACCGGCATCACCGGTGAAAAAGAAAAGGAACTCAAAGTGGCACACGTCCTTTCCTTACTCCTTAAGACCATCCAAATGTTCTAATTGCTCTAAGAAACATTTAGGAAAGTGCAACGAGCCCCCGGTGTGCTACAAATGTGGGAGCACAACCCATATGAAATTAAGTTGCCCATGGAGGAGGCAACGAGAGACATTGCAAGCCGAGGAAGGGCTCACTGTGGAAGGAAACCATACGGAACCAACGATGAGCAACGCTACGTCCGTCAATCAAGGCGGGGCCCAAGCAAGGGTCTACGCAATGACCGAGGCGGATGCGAGAGCAAACCCGGACTCCGTTGCAGGTAAACACGTATTCCCATGTATTTCTAGGCTTAGTTTGATCATATACACCGTTGGGGGTTGAGTTCGGGCCACCCCAGGACCAAACGGAGCGAAATTGGGCGAAATTGGGCGAAATCGGGCTGATTTCTGCCAACGCACTACAGGCTGGGCTGCACGCACGGCCGTGCGTTGCCCGTGCGTACCTCCGTGCGTTGGTGGCAGTAGCACCCCGGAGGAAAATCGCTGCACGCCCGGCCGTGCGTTGCCTGTGTGTACCTCCGTGCGTTGGTGGCAGTAGCACCCCGGAGGAAATTCGCTGCACGCCCGGCCGTGCGTTTCCCGTGCGTCCCTCCGTGCGTTGGGGGCAGTAGCCTCCATTGGTAAGACAAGGTACGCACGACCGTGCGTACCCCCTACGCACGCCGTGCGTGGACCCCTGGCACCTGAAACTTTATTTTTTCGCCCCGTTCTTCTACGTTTGGACCCCCGTTTGATCCCAAACATTAGTATGAACATAATAACATCTTAATGATGTGTAAAAACATTAGAAAATGTATCTTACATGGTGTATAAATGTAGGAACATTAAAGATCAATGGTAGGTGTGCGAGGATCCTCATCGATACCGGGGCACAACGCTCATTTGTGAGTGAGGCGTTCGCCGAGGGCCTTGACGTGCCATTGACACCTATGACGCAAACGTTGCTAGTCTCGACACCGTTAGGAGACGATGTGGAGAGAAATTATTACTATCCATCGTGTGAGGTGGAAGTGACGGGTCAACCCTTGACTTGTGATTTCGTACCTCTAAGCATGTTGGAGTTCGATGCAATCCTAGGAATGGATTGGCTTGAGAAGCACCATGCTCGAGTAGATTGCTACACCAAGGTGTTGGAGCTTGAGGATGGTCAAGGGAATATGCTACGTTTTGAAGGAGATCGGGGGAAGTCTAATGCTTGTATCATATCCGTGATGAGAGCACGAAAGATGATGAGGAAGGGATGCCACGCATACCTTGCTTATGTGGTAGATGATACGAAGAAAGAAGTCGACATCAAGGATGTTCGAGTCGTGTGCAAGTACCCGGACATCTTTCCCAAGGACCTACCGGGGCTTCCACCCGATAGAGAGATTGAATTTGTAATCGAAGTGGAGCCGGGAACCAAACCCATTTCGATTCCTCCTTATCGAATGGCGCCGGCCGAACTCCAAGAGTTGAAGGTCCAACTACAAGAATTACTGGACAACGGGTTCATCAGACCCAGTCATTCACCGTGGGGAGCACCCGTACTATTCGTAAAGAAGAAAGATGGTACACTAAGAATGTGTATCGACTACCGACAGTTGAACAAGGTCACCATCAAGAACAGGTATCCCTTACCGAGGATTGATGACTTGTTCGATCAACTTCGAGGAGCAATAGTGTTCTCGAAGATTGACTTGAGGTCGGGGTATCATCAGTTGAAGATCAAGGAGAGTGACATACCTAAGAGTGCATTTCGCACTAGATATGGTCATTATGAATTCCTTGTGATGTCGTTTGGTTTAACCAACGCACCGGCGGCATTCATGGACTTGATGAACCGTGTGTTTAGTGAATACTTAGACCAATTTGTGATAGTATTCATTGACGACATCTTGATATACTCCAAGAGTGAGGAAGAGCACGAACACCATTTGAGGCTTGTACTTGATCGGCTAAGGGAAAAGCAACTCTTCGCCAAGTTCTCCAAATGCGAATTTTGGCTCAAAGAGATTGGTTTCCTCGGTCATGTCATATCCGGTTCAGGTGTTGCTGTGGATAACGCCAAGATAAAAGCGATCATGGATTGGGAGAGACCCAGGAATGCGAAGGAGATACGTAGTTTCCTTGGCTTAGCGGGATACTATCGTAAATTTGTGGAAAAATTCTCCGTATTGGCGTCCCCATTAACGAAGCTCACAAAGAAAGGGGCCAAGTTCATATGGGACGACAAATGTGAGAAGGGGTTCCTTGAATTGAAGAAACGACTTACCGAAGCACCAGTCCTTGCCCTACCCATACAGGGGATAGGGTATGACATTTATAGCGACGCTAGCATCCAAGGGCTTGGATGTGTACTGATGCAAAACGGTAAGGTGATTGCCTATGCTTCTAGGCAATTGAGGAAACACGGGGTGAACTACCCTACTCACGATCTAGAGTTGGGGGCGGTAGTGTTTGCATTGAAGATTTGGAGGCATTATCTCTACGGGGAGACGTGTCACATTTATACTGATCATAAGAGCCTGAAGTATGTATTCACTCAGAAAGAGTTGAATATGAGACAAAGGAGATGGATGGAGTTGATCAAGGACTATGACTTGATCATCAACTATCATCCCGGAAAGGCCAACGTAGTGGCCGACGCACTGAGCAGGAAGAGTACGTCAGGGACGTTGCTTACTTGTCTGCAGGCATTGAGGGCACGCGTGGAGGTGTCCACGTGCGGGGCTCTCATTGCTCAATTTGAGGTTAGGCCCACCCTATTGGGCGAGATTAGTCGAAGTCAGGCCATTGATGAGGAATGTCAGAAGATCCGTGAAAGGATCCTTGAAGGACCCGTTGAGAATTTTCGGGTACGTGATGACGGTCTGTTACTGTTTAAGGATCGTGTGTGCATACCAAGGAATGAGGAACTCCAGAAATCTATACTTGAGGAGGCTCATTCTTCAGCATATGCCATGCATCCAGGAGGTACTAAGATATACCGAGATCTGAAGGAAAGTTACTGGTGGTCAGGTATGAAGAGAGATATCGCAGAGTTTGTGAGTCGATGCCTTACTTGCCAGCAAGTTAAGGCAGAGCATCAGCACCCAGCAGGGCTCTTACAACCGCTCACTATCCCATAGTGGAAGTGGGAACATGTGACCATGGACTTCGTGGTGGGGCTGCCACGAACAGTGAACAACTACGATGTCGTATGGGTAGTGGTTGATAGGCTCACCAAGAGTGCACACTTTCTGCCTATCAACATTACTTATCCTCTTGAAAGATTGGCCAAGCTATACACGGAGGAGATTGTGAGATTACATGGAGTCCCAATATCGATTGTCTCGGATAGGGATCCACGATTCACATCCCGATTTTGGCCAAAGTTTCAAGCATCCTTGGGGACTAAACTGAAGTTTAGCACAGCTTTTCACCCACAGACGGATAGACAGTCTGAGCGGGTGATACAGATTCTGGAAGACATGCTTAGGGCACGTGCCTTGGAGTTCCAAGGAAGTTGGGACAAGCATTTGGCCCTAGTGGAGTTTGCCTATAACAACAGTTATCAGGCAAGTATCGGCATGCCTCCATATGAAGCATTGTATGGGAGGAAGTGCAGAACACCGTTGTGTTGGGACGAGGTTGGCGAGGCCAAACTCGAAGGGATAGAGCTAGTTGAGATCACCAAGGCCAAGGTGAGGATCATTCGGGATAGACTGAAGGCCGCTCAGAACCGACAGAAGAGTTATGCTGATAAACGGCGGAGACCGTTGGAGTTCGAAGTCGGTGATGAGGTCTTCCTAAGGATTTCTCCTTGGAAGGGCATCATTCGGTTTGTATCGAGGGGGAAGCTTAACCCCCGATACATCGGCCCATTTGAAATCCTTGAGAGGATAGGGGCCGTGGCTTACCGTCTCAAGTTGACGCCCGAACTCGAGAAGATACATGACGTGTTTCATGTATCAATGCTCAAGAAGTACATACGAGACCCATCTCATATTCTTGAGAAACCACCAGTAGAGATCCGTGAGGACTTGCAATATGCGGTGGAACCAGTGAAGATTGTTGGTCAACAAGTGAAGAAGCTTAGTAATAAGGAGATTCCTATGGTAAAGGTCCTCTGGAGGAGTGATCGAGTCGAAGAAGAAACTTGGGAGACCGGGGTCTCAATGACGGAGCAATACCCACTTCTTTTCGATTGGATACTTGGATTTCGGGGACGAAATCCCAAATAAGGGGGGGTGAACTTGTAACACCGTCCCCAAATATATTTACTTTTATGTAAATAATGTATTGAACCTTATTAAAGGATTAATGAATTTACGAGGTTGTAAATTTTTATTATTTCTTTCGTGTGAATAGTAAATTGCACGTGGGGCCCACACCGGGAGCGGGGGCCGCCCGACACTCCCGAGACCACATATTTTATTCATCTTAGTCAAGATAATATTTATATAGTGGTGAATATTTTATTTGGGTCGTGGAAGGGCGCAGAGTTGACCGATTGGGAAAAAGGGGCCCAATTACCGGTACCGACAATTTAACAGGTAACAGCCCGCAAATGAATTTCGGAGGCTTATAAATTAAAGTTGGGGAAGGTATATTCATTATACATGTCATAATGAGTAAGGGCACATAATATATTTTATTTGACCCGATAAAATAAAATATATTTAAAACAGTCCGAAAAAATACAACTTTCGGGACAAATTGCACACACCGGGACACAAAGGGATGACCTCCCACATGAGTGGGGGCCACCCCACGTTTTTGTGTGCAAGGGTTGACTAATTGGTGCCATAAGGACACATGAAGGATGGGTGATAGGATGGGAGGAACATGGTTGAAAGGTAATGGACCCCTTTCCACCCACTCATTGGCTAAAGGAGACAAAACCCACCTCTCCACCCTCTTTCATCTATCATGCTCGACCAACCAAGCAAAAGGAGGAAGGAAGGAGCTTTGCAAACCATTCCCATAGCTGAAAATTCGAGCTCAACCTAAGGGAGTCCAAAGAGGAAGATAAAAGAAGGAAAAAGTTGGGGAAAGTGTGATTTATTAAGGTAATGACCTTATTATAACTCTTCCTTTAATTTTCTTCCACCATATGAAGTATATATCATATTAAGGACCCTTAATATGGTTCCACATGTTATAAGTATGGATTTATGGGTTGGAAAGTGGTTCTATGTCCAAGAACGGACTTAGAAGCCAAAACGACCGGTTCACCGGAAAATAACCTTTTTTGAGGTTATTTGTATTAATATGGGTTTTATGATTATAAAACCTTGTTAGGCACTTGTAAAGGGCATTTCAAGTGATTTCACAAAGTTGGAAAAAGTCGCCGGAGTTGTCGCCGGAGTTGACCAAGTCGCCGGAGTTTCACCGGAGTTCAACCAAGAAGGGTAGAACTTCTTAACGCTAGTTCAAGGTGAGTGGACGGCTTAATATCTTATAACTTTTGGGTTAATTATAAGATTACCTAAATAAATGTTATAAGTGTTCATAATGATGTTTAAAAGATATTTAAACATGTGAGTAGCCAACATAGACAAGCACGTATGAAAAGAATTAATTGTTTATACATGAAACATGATATGAAGAATTATATAAAATGCATACTTGCTTGAAGTGTATTAGAAGCACAAATGAATATTTTAACTTAATTATGTGATGATTAAGTTGATTTGTACAAGGTTTGAATTGGCGGTCAACGACAACGTTGACCGATGGATAATGGATTAATTAATATCGATTGGTATTAATTAATTATACATTTACATAATTGCATGGCTTTGCATGGAATGTGATACATAAGTTTTATGTATTGAATTAGTTATGAATGATTAAATATGATATAGACCCTATCTAGTGTGATATGTGGTAAGTCATAGGTCGGGTGGAGTACCCAAGGATCGGGCGGTTATCCTCAAAACTCGGTTATATAGGGTGGAGTACCCAAGGATCGGGCGGTTATCCTCAAAACTCGGTTATATAGGGTGGAGTACCCAAGGATCGGGCGGTTATCCTCAAAACTCGGTTATATAGGGTGGAGTACCCAAGGATCAGGCGGTTATCCTCAAAACTCGGTTATATAGGGTGGAGTACCCAAGGATCGGGCGGTTATCCTCAAAACTCGGTTATATAGGGTGGAGTACCCAAGGATCGGGCGGTTATCCTCAAAACTCGGTTATAGGGTGGAGTACCCAAGGATCGGGTGTGTATCCTCAAAACTCATAGATTACATATAATGATCTAGGACCGGGCGGTGTCCCTATGATAATTTACTTGAACAAGGAGGAGTTCTATACACTCATAGGCATATGGGTGGGTTGGGGTTTTTAGTCAAGAATATTGACTATTACTATTTTTCCCAAATAAACTGATGATCTACGGATCGGATATTTTTCCAAGTATATATATACTATTAAGTATTTCATAACTTGGGGGAAAGACTATTTATATAAGTATCACCCTATGTTTGGGTCTTATACTTGAAACGCTAGTTATTCTATATTTAGCCTGCTACTCGCTCGGTACTTGTACTGACCCCTTCGGGGGGCCCCACCATTTTCAGGTTGAAGCTAGGGCTTGCTACTTGCACCTTCTCACGGGTGATATCAAATCAGGAAGACGTGGTTCGTGCTTCCTTATTTTCTTTCAAACTACCGAACACTTGCTCATGGATATTTGTTCTACTATAAACTATTTTTGGGGCTTGCATGCCCATGTTGTTGGCCGGTTGTGGCTTATGACTTACCATTGAATATTTCCGCTATTCATTGGTTTAAATGTGATGTTGTTATGTATGTTTACTACTGAGTATGGATGGATTGTTTTCTCGAACGCCTTGTGTAATTAAGAGGGGTTGACTCGCGGGTGACGTCACTTAATTATACGGCGGTTGTACACGCGCTTGGATTGCGGTCTGGGGCGTGACAGTAAGGAAGCATTGAAACATCACTCAGCTTAAATACTAAAGTTTCTACGCGTAAAAAAAAGGAATAAAGATAATGCATCTTTATCTTTGCATTGAAATGAGAAAACAAGTTGAGTGAAGATTTTTTATCTGTGTCACTTCAAGACAAAGACCAACCATGCTGCCTCAGTCAAGTGGAACAAAACAAATAGATCAAGCTACGGTCAAGATTGGTTTCCCTTGCCAACGGTACGTGGAGATTCAATGCTCAAGTCTATAAATACAGAAGCAGTGCGGGAATACTAAGGAAATGTTTGCAACAGCTTAAAAAACACTTCTCAGCTTTTGGCTTAAAAAAGCACTTATTTACAAAACATTACCAACTTTTACTTTTTCTCGGCTTGCGTGTGAAAAGTGTTTTCCCCTTTTCTATTACACACAAAGCACACTTATTTTACCAAACACTACCAACTTTTACTTTTCAAAATCATTTTTTTCTCAAACACTATCAACTTTTACTACTAATCATTTTTTCATTACATCTCCTAAAGTGCTTTTTTTTAAAAGTAGGAGTTGCAAACACTCCCTAAGTGTGGTAAAACGAGAGGAGCCAAGTGGAATAGAAGGGAATCAAAACATCCATGATCACATCCAGCCATCTGATTCCCCTTCACCATTTCGTGTACCACCCCACTCGTCTAATGCTCTTAGACTAGCTACAATTCATACAAATCTATAGAGTTTAGATTAGTTGGTAGCTTAGATATACACCCATGTATACTAGATTAGTGTAAGACATTCTGAAGGACTTTGTGTTCAAATCGAGAAGGTGAGAAAGGGCAAGGACATGAATAGCTCTTGGCAAGTCAATGTCATTAGTGAAAAACCTTGGGTCGACTGAGTAGCTTGGAATGGTGTTGATATTCCTTGTGAAAAACCTCACAATCTACGCTTGAGCCAAGGGTAGATTGGGCACTAAATGTAATGGGATATTCATTTAGTGGGAATCCATCTGAAATAGGCTGGGACTGGATGTAGGAGGATTACGCTACCTCAGAACCAGGATATATGTTGTGTCACCTTTTACATTCTGTTCCTAACAAAAATTCAGTTTTCATTCACCTTCACAACTTCACAGTAAAACAGCTTGCTCACCAGGACTTTCCAGTGAACATTTACAGTTCACTGTGATTCAACTCCTTGTTTTCTAAACATCAAAATGATCTATTTTCATAGGTCTAAATCTTTCATACTTATGTGTTAAGACTAGTTCTAAAGCCTATTAATGTGTTAGAGTATAGTTCTTTGCTATACCTTAACTAATTAAAACAGAACTTTAATTGCAGCAGCCTGCTCCTAGAAGTTTTGGCAGTCAGCTCCAAAGTCTCTGGCAACTAGCTCCTTCAGGTTTCAGAAGCCTGCTCCTTGAGTCATCTATTTCTGGCAAACACATTTGTAACATGTTTAACTCATCTCTCTCACAACTAAAAGGGTCATAATCTTTGTTTTTATAAAGTGTCACACTCTTGAGATCAAGACTTCCGTTGCATGTTTCTATATCTCCCAAAAGATATTGAAACTCATTCTATTAGAGGAAAAAGGGCTTAAAATGAAAAGATCTAAAAGTCTATTCACCCCCCCCAGACTTTTACCTCACTTGGGACTCAGTTGGTATATCGGCACTCATCACTGCTGAATTAAAAAAAATTAAAATATATTTTATTAGTAAAATAAAGAAAATATTATATGTAAAAATAACTAAAATGGTCATCTATAGTAACTTCAGCCAATACAGCCAAAAAAGTAACTTCAACCTTACTTTTTCCACTTATTACACAATTCAGCGCGTGAAAACAAAAATTGTGTGTTTGGTGAAAAAGTTGGTTGATAAGTAAACGATATTGCCAAACGACCTCTTAGGGTATGTTTGACACAACTAGCTAAAAAGATACTTTTGTGATCTTTTTAGTAACTGTGAGCTTTTAGTGACAGACAAAATCTTAAAAAGAAAAGGTGATAGCTGTTTGGTAAAAAGTTGACTGTTTGATTTAGTTCTGTTTGGTATTTGGTATACAAGCTGTTCGGATTAATTAATGCTAAAAGTCACAGACTTTTTTCAGATGTTACTCGTTGTAGCATCTTAAAAAAGATATTTTATTTTTTGAAAAACTCTTAAATATTGTCATGCTAAACATACAACTATAAATTTTCAGACACTTTTTAAATAGTAAAAAAGTTAGAAGGTATGAACTTTTGCGTGCCAAACATAACTTTAATGAGTCAATGGATTATTTTCAACTCACTCCAATTTAGCTTTTTTCAAACAAAAAAGGGCAATTTATATGTCGCACATCATTTGTGATGCCCCGGAGGACACGACAAACATCGAACACTCATAGGCCAACACCTCGACACAACATGCTTAACTTTACGGGCTGACAGCACTAACGCTGGCCAAGCCATTTATCAATAAAATCCATTGGTTCAATTAATAATGTGTCGTGTGTGTGGGGTTGGTGTTATTTAAGCACAATTATTGCGTCACTGTGGATTCGCAGCAATCAGCGCAGGGGCATGTGTCATTCTAATCTCCAAATTGTTTATGGACTACTACACTCCAACATAACCAAAATTGTGAAGTGAATCATGTGTTTGGTACGAGTTTGCGAAAAACATCTTCTGGTACACCCCAAAAGACCAAAATGTAAACGTTGTGCACGTCTCATTTTGTCGTGTCACCACACATTTTGTTTTCATTTTTAAGACGTTTTTCCCCATACTACAGATAATTTGTTTTTAAAATAACAAAAGTTTTTTGTGGCACAGACCATTAGAAGTGCAAGTCTATACTTTAGTTAATTAGTTGCAATGCTTATTCAATGTATATTCAACATGTTATTTGTATAAGTTAATACGGAGTAAAAAAATGTGACTTCTAAATCGTGTAGTGATTGTAGTGATAACTTTAATCTTTACAGCTTATATTTATTTTTGCACTTAGGTTATCATACCATTAATACGCAGTAATTTTTGTCATATTAATGTAAATAAGTTTAATTCATTTATATTTCAATTGGCATGTATAGTATGACTTAATTCTTATTTGTAATTTCTTCAATATTCATTATTTCTTTGTATACTGAAATCAATAAAAAGTCAAAATTTGGAATATGTCTAGTTGAAATCTCGTCAATTTAAAACTATTTTTATTATTATTATAGATAATACTATATTATTATTATTATTATTCTTATTCTTCTTATTATTATTATTATTATTATTATTATTATTATTATTATTATTATTATTATTATTATTATTATTATTATTATTATTATTATTATTATTATTATTATTATTATATAACTTATTTGATAACACTGAAATCAGCGGAATCGATTGGATTTGGTAAATTTGATGAAACTTTGGCCGAAGCGCTGAAAAATGGTGGCCAAAATGATTTTGTAAAGTATTTGTGTTTGGTTAAAAATATGATTTATAAGGACGATATATAGAACACAGGGGTTCTGAAAAGGGATTAAAATGATAATGATAATACCCTTCATAAGAGCACGGAAAAATATGCTTAGAGCTAACAAAATTATCGAAAAATCAAAATTGACAGAACCGAAATTCAATAAAATACCCGACGAAAATTAACCTGCCTGAAATTAACCGAAACCAAAATGTCTCGTCGTTCCTGAAACTAAACCGGTCGGTTGATGGTTCTCGAGAACTTCATGGTTATTAATAGGGATGTAAATGAGCCAAGCCGCTCGCGAGCTGCTCGTGGATCGCTCGGGAAAAGCTCGACTCGAGTTCGGTCATATTAAGCTCGGCTCGAGTTCGGCTCGAGCCTGTTTATTTTAGGCTCGTGGCTCGCGAGCCGGTTCGCGAGCCTTTGTGTCATATTTTATAGGGAAAAGGTGCAAATAGGCCCATGTACTAACCAAAAAAGGTCAAATAAGCCCTTATTTAGGAGGCTCTGTCCGGCCGTCGTCATTTGGGGTGGTTCCCGGTGGAATTTTTTGATGAAATTTTTTGAGCATCTTATTCATCAAGTCTAGTTTACTCATACCAAATTTCAGCTAAAACTTCAATCGAGAAGGCATTCAAATGAATTCTTGAAGATAATTGTGCTTCTAATTGCGCAGTTATTTTCAAGAATTCATTTGAATGTCTTCCCGATTGAAGTTTTAGCTAAGATTTGGTATGAGTAAACTAGACTTAATGAATAAGATGCTCAAAAAATTTCATCAAAAAATTCCACCGGGAACCACCCTAAATGACGACGGCCGTACAGAGCCTCCTAAATAAGGGCTTATTTGATCTTTTTTTGTTAGTACATGGGCCTATTTGCACCTTTTCCCTATTTTATATATTAATCAATATATGCATAATAATTATATATGTACTTTTTTAATATATATTTTAATTTAGGACTATTCCATTTTCAATACTTATCACAGAGTATATTATAATTTATAATAGGAATAATTACAAAAATAATAACATGATGTGCGTAGTATGATTATTATTATAACCATAATCTGTAATAATTATTATAATATGTACTCTTAATATTTATTGATAGTAAAATAAAGAATAAAAATGTTAGTAAATGATAGATAAACTAAAAATTAGAATGAATAAGTACACATAATATTTTTAGCTCGAGTTCGAGCATCTTATTCGAGTTCAAACCTATAAAAATTAATTAGTGAAACTTGACCCGAGCTCGATTCAAGCTCGAATGGAGCTCGCGAGCCGACAGAGGCGGCTATAGGGCCATTTTGCCTAGGCAAATGCCTTGGGCCTCTCATTTTGGTGGGGCCTCATATTCTTGAACTCCTATTAATACTACTCGGTTATATTTTTAATTCACTTGTATTAGTATAGGCATTTTTCCAGTGTATTAGTGGACATGATACGGCACATGTTTTTATTCGACCGATGAGCAAATGTGTTAGGGCCTCTTGGAGTGCATCTTTGAAGTAATTTCTCATTTGTCTCCTAGCAAAAATTAGGTGGAATTGAAAATTTATAAATGTCAGAGAATACAATGTATCTTACATGGGTTATCAACCTATTTAATTGGGAGGAAACTATCCGCTAGTTTGTGATGTTTTTAGGAAACATTTACATTTAGTTCTACATTTGAGAAGTTGTTTATTTTAGAGACTAGAGTCCGTTTGGTGACCCGTTTTTCAACTTATCAGGCTTATCAGCTAACTTTTTAACCAAACACATTATATTTGATTTTGCGCCCTGAATTGTGCGACAATAAGAAAAGGTGTGGTTGAAGTTACTTTTCCGATTGTTTTGGCTGAAGTTACTGTAGATGACCATTTTAGCTATTTTATATAATTCTCTTTATTTTATTAATAAAACAAATTTTGATTTTTTTACTTCATAAATCAGCAGAATCAACCAATACATCCATTTCAGTCAAAACTTCATAAATTTCAGAAGAATCAACCGATTCAACTGATTTCAGTGTTACCAAACGTGCTCTATATGAAATGTTGTAAATAGTAAAAAGTGATTTCATTTGTAAAATTAAATGATTTTGAGTAAGTAAAAATCAGATTTTTGATTAAAAAATAAGTGTAATAGAGAAACGCCTTTTCCATTAACTTTAACAATAGCTTTAAAATGTTCGATTTAAGCAAAATAATCTACTTGAAAATGTGTAACTTTGTTGGAACAAATTTTTTATGAAAATTTATCATAGGTATTTTTTTGGGAAGAAAAATTCATAATTTCATACTAGTACTACTCCGTAATATATGTATGAAAACTGATATAAGTGCTTAATTTAGATAGATTTTTTCCATCAAAACAGTCATGTGTGCCGCCTTGGGCCTCCAAATCTCTATAGACGCCCTGCGAGCCAAGTTCGGCTCGAGATCGAACTCGAATAATTTAACTCGCCCAAGTTCGAGATCGAGCTCGAGCTCGTGAATTCTTATCAAGCTCAAGCATACTCATGCTCTGTCTCGACTCGTTTGCACCCGTAGTTATTAACCGACTGACTGACCAACATCTTTGAAGATAAAAATGTTTTTACGGAGCATGAGATATGCGGGTGATGAAAGTCTGGGATCACTTTTGTTTAACTAGTGATCTAGAAATTTCATGTCTTGAACTTTGAATAACCATCAATTGTATCGGAATTCCTCCTAAATTTTTTAGTAGTTTCTATGGTATTCATAAGGTATCTTACCTTTGTACACATGGACCAATCAAGATGTTGCAGTTAAATTATTTAAATCTAAATAAAAAATGATATAATGATTTGAACCAATCAAGTTGATGGTAAGTACGGTACCCATTTTTTAAATGGGTACCGGAGTTGTCACCATTTTTTATCATCAAAACAAACCGCTTTATATTAATATCATAAGGATTCAGATCGTTACAACAAATTCAACAAGACTAACACTGACAACAATTATCCCTAAGCAACTAGCACTATAAACCCTACGGTTAGACTCAGAGACGATCACCCCTGAAAGAGCAATACGAATCGCTAACCACCAAGTGGATGTGACACAGCAATCACTGGCCATAAAGATCCTTCCATCGACATAATATCTAG